AACGGGGGAGGAGGAGAGAAAGGGGGAGGAGAGAAGGGGCTGAGCTTGTGGGACGGGGAGAGGGGAGAGAGTATGATGTAATGTGTGTGATGACTGGTTGTTGCCCTCCCAGGAACATGCGCTGATTGGTGCTTGTTAACTATAACGTCAGCATGTGTTGATTGGTCCTTGTTAACTATGACATCAGCATGTGTTCATTGGTCCTCGTTATCTATGACGTTCACATGTGTTGATTGGTCCTTGTTATCTATGACCTCGGCATGTGTTTATTGGTGGTTGTTAATTATGACGTCAGCATGCATTGATTGGTTCTAGCTTGTCAATCTATGCGTTGATTGGCTCTTGCCCTCAGTATAACGCCTATCTGTATATACAAGAAAGTTGAATACTGATAAACAGGTTCGGTTAGGTTAGGAGGTTAGGTTAAGCTCTGTAGATTTGATTAGGTTAGGTCAGATTAGGTTAAAGATAGATTAGCATCGATAAATCAGACTTAAATAAGAATATAGGTTCTTCAAATTAGATTTAATATCACACTAGGGTTATGTAACTTAGTCCAAAGCTTAAATAGGCCTATGCACAGGTTCTGCAGTTTGGGTGTAAGAGTACAGAGGCCTGAAGGTTAATTAAAAAAGAATGACGAATGTGAGGGGGACCTGATCATTGTCACCGTCAACAAGAAACACTCAGCGAACATCATATCATCTTCACTACTTCCGTCATGCACCCCCCCCCACCCGTCAGGTAGCGAGAGTCGGGTCGGTCTGTTCTCCGTCGTGTACTGTTGGTGAGTACATGGGCATAGACGGGCTCGGCTCCTGAAGTTACGGGATCCTCAACATGTGCCAGTGTTGGTCAAGTCTGGGTTCAACATTGTCTGGCTGGTTATTCCAAGAGTTTACAACACCTCACGGTTCCTCATCCCTCATACTACTACAACACCTCACACCTCATCCCCCTCACACCCACCACACTCCTCACACTACAACACCTCACCTCTCAGACACAACACCTTTAGTTAACATCTCCTCGCTTGGTAGGTGATGTGTGTGTGTGTGTGTGTGTGTGTGTGTGTGTGTGTGTGTTGGTCTGGACTTAAAACATAATTATCGGTAATAATAATCGTGGTGGTAGATTATAGACAACAACAGCTGGCAAGATTATACGTATGGAGAGCTGACGATGGACACGAAACACGCAACACCCGCAGTACACGCAACACCCGCAGTACACGCAACAACACAATAAACGCTACACACAATAGACGGAACACACGCAACACACATAGAACACACACACACACACACACACATACAGTATTTTTCTATTGACATGTGAGAAGAATCCTGTACTGGTAGTTAGGGGCGTGATCGAAGGAAGGAAGGAATATCATTATTATTATTATTATTATTATTATTGTCTGGCTAGGTTACAGGGCGTGGTGACCTTGTATGCAACTGTGTTAAGGTGATAAATAAAATATAATTACCTCTCTCTCTCTCTCTCTCTCCGTCCCTGGTTCGCATTTTTCGTAAGACAGTGTGTAGTTAAAAAGTGAATAAAGTGAGGATGAGGATGATGATGATGGATGAATGTGGTGATAAGTGATGAGAGAACACGAGGCCCTTCGAGCAGGTCACGGGGGGAAGGAGGGGAGAGGGGGGGTTGATAGGTAGGGGAGGAGAAGGAGGGAGAGGGGGGGTTGATAGGTAGGGGGAGGGGAGGAGCAGAGATGACGATGGGACAGTGAGGGTCTATATGTTGTACATGCATGGACCACACACATACACACATACACACACACACACACATACACACACAAGCAGCTATCCCCCCCCCCACAGACACATACACCTACCTCTGCCCGCCACTCAGGAAATACTTCACACACATACTGTATACACGTGCCGATAAAAATACGAACCAGTGACGGTGTAAGAGAGAGAGAGAGAATTATTCACCTCCATCACTGCACTGGGCCCCAACACCCTCCTCGCCGTCACTATAGATACACAAACTGGACTGGAAAGAGCAGGTCAATACTGTCACCTCGACCTTCCGTAACCTAACCTAACCTAACCTAACCTAACCTAACCTAACCTAACCTAACCTAACCTAACCTGCCTGTTCTTCTTACACAAAAACGATATCTAACTGTGTGTATAGAAGAGAGAGCGTGCACGACTAATTCCTACTCATCTTACGCTATACTTATCAACACCGCCACCTTCTGCCACTTAATGTTCCTCGTCCTGGATAGCTTCAAACATAGGTTGGACGGATATATGAGCAATAGGGGTTGGGTGTAAATGGGACTGCCCAGTATGGGTCAATAGGCCCGCTGCAGTTTCCTCCATTCTTATGTTCTTATGTTCTTGTGTCCACGAATCGCATCCGCCACCCCACTTGACCTCGCCCGAACCGCTAACAAGAACAATCTCATTCTAACTTTATTATTATTATTATTAGTATTATTGTTATTATTATTATTATTATGATTATTATTATTATTATTATTATTATTATTAATCACCGTAACCACTACCTTCACCATTAACAACATCGTCATCACTACTACTACTACATTTTTTTTTTTTACTACTAACCTCTGTCACCTCTTTTCCTCCTTTCTCACCACTTTCCTCCTCCTCCTCCTTTCTCTCACCTTCCCCCCCTCCTCCTTCATGATGCTGGGCATGGTGTGTGCTGTTGGGCAAGATACCACCTCAGTACCCCATCAAGACACTCTCAAGCTTCAGCCTCTTAATCCCTCCAGCCCCCCCACAATCCCCCCAGCCCCCACGACCCCCTCCAGTCTCCAGTCCCTTTAATACCCCCTCAGCCCCCACAAGGTCCTGTTGAAGCCCCCAGTACCCCCTCCAGCCCCAAAGACCCCTCCAGCCCCAAAGACCTCCATCACCCCATTGCCCCATCCAGCCCCCACAGGACCCACTGAAGCCCCCCACCAAGGACCTCATCCAGCCCCCACAAGACCCCCTCTGGTGAGACTCCACGGGGGAGGGGGAAGCTGACCATATTGGGATGGATGTCGACCCCTAGCGCCTCTCCACCCTCCACCTGCACCCTCCATCTCCGCCCTTCCACTTCCCACTTTCCACCTCCTTCACCCCCCAACCTCCTCTCCTCTATTCCTCCCTCTCCCTCATCCCCCTTACACTGTTTATATACATTGTCTGTATACCTGACTTAAGATATATGCATTGCACACCTGCATTTCTATATAAACTTGTGTATGATTGAATAGCTGTCTATCTATCTATCTATCTATCTATCTATCTATCTATCTATCTATCTATCTGTCTATCTATCTATCTATCTATCTATCTATCTATCCCTGTAATTACTAACGTATCACCAGTAATTACTATCACATCACCAGTAATTACTAACACATCACCAGTAATTACTATCACATCACCAGTAATTACTAACACATCACCAGTAATTACGAAAGATAATTAATCACTTTGTTGTTCCTTATAACCGTATAGGAATATTTAATACAGGGTGTCAACTAATTATTACCGGTACTGTATCGCTGTAACTGGTGGCGGTACAGTGTCGGTATATACTATAGTCTGGGTTAGGCTATACTGTATCACTGTAACTGGTGGCGGTACAGTGTCGGTATATACTATAGTCTGGGTTAGGCTATACTGTATCGCTGTAACTGGTGGCGGGTTAAGTTACACTATCTTCTGTAATCTGAGACACATGCACCCCCACCAACAACAACTCCCGTCACCACTACTACCACCATTACTGCTACTTGTACTACTACTACTACTACTACTACTTTTACCACCACCATTGTACTACATCTACTACCACCACCACCACTACCACTAATAACATTATCATCACCACTACTACAACCATTCGTCAACCACTACCATGAACACCAGTTTCGCCTTTATCATTGCTACCACCATCACTACTATCACTAATTATGTTTCAATATCACCACCATTACTACTACTACTATATACCATTGATTAACATACTAATCATCATCATTATCATCATATTCATCATTATCATCACCATAGCCCATCATTATCATAACCAGCCATCATTATAATTGTCATCATGAATTCATACCCTCATTAGCATCAACATCACCTAGTTACCATCATTATCATCACATACCCTCATCATCATCATCATCATTATCGATACCTCCTCTGAAAATATGCCAAGTTAAAACTCTAATGTCTTACAAAAAAAAATTGAACCAGAAAAAATTAAGGGTTGCAAAAAGTTCCATGCATTCATGAACTGGGGTTTGCATGTCGTCTGTGCATGACTTGTAACCTAATGTTAGAAAAACACAGAGAAAATTTTCACCCCAGAGATTTACCCTAAACATTCACCCCTTGGGACTTAACCTAAACACTGATTCCTGGGACTTAACTTCTCTTCCCCTGGGACTTACCCTAAACATTCATCCCCTGAGGTTTGCCCTACACACACATCCCCAGAGGCTTGCCCTAAACACTCACCCCCTGAGGCTTGCCCTAAACACTCATCCCCAGAGGCTTGCCCTAAACACTCACCCCGATATCTACTCTATATACTTACCCCAGAAATTTACTGTACATATTTTACTCCTAATTAGCCAAGATTATTCTCAAACACTTAAAAAAAAGTGAGAGGAAGTGTTGCCAGATGTGTACCAGGCCCCAAGAGGCAGCTTCCTATATAAAGTGTTCAACATGACTCCTACCTTACAATACAAGCCAAGAAACCACTTGTATATGGTATTACTGTCACCACATGAGAATTACTGCCCCTTTTAACTTCACTCTTATAATATAAATATTACTACATTATACAAGTACTTTTAAAACGTACCTGTATGAGTATTTATTTACAATTATATAGGAATTACTTTATATTTACTTCAAGGAGTTTAATCTGTACTTGAATGTTATGTTTGTGAATCAAATTTGGTGAGTGACAGTGACCATCTCTAACAGGGGTATGTGGCGGTGGTCTGCCCAGAGTGTGGTGGCAGCCCGGTACCGCCGTCGAGGAGGGTGACACCATCCAGCTACAGTGTCAGGTACGTACGGCGTGTCATGTTAGGTCATACAGAGTCTTGTGGAATCATGCAGGGTTAGTCATACACGTCATATAGGCCCTTACAGTCATATTGCCATGCAGGATAATGTAGTCTTACAGGTGACAATTCCGTTGAGTCAAGAGCAATTACACAGCGTTATGGTGCAAAATATATCACGGGTCATACACAATAATATCCTGGGCCATGTTGGGTCAGAGTGCCAGGAATGTCCAGAATGCTGTAGAGCGATAGTGCCAGATTTAGTCTTACAAGCCGGTGTTTCTAGAATAATGGTCGTTTGGTTGGTACACTTCATCTACTTTTATTGATTAACGATATTTTGTCATATTATTTCATTAGGTACAGTAACCCAAAAAAGTTCTGTCGCGAACCATGAACCCCGAGATTCAGACTCTTGAATCCGAAGCATTTATGGACAGAATAATGTATCAGTGTCTACTGCTTCGGGTTCACGAGTCTGAATCTCGGGGTTCATGGTTCGCGACTGGACTTTTTTGGGTGACTGTACCTGTCGCTACCTTAAATCACCAAACACATTACAAAATACACAGAACAGTGACCGTCTGTACTCACCAGAACTTATGGCTGAATGGTATTGATGAATTCCTTTAGTTGTTACAATTTAGTTGTCACAGTCCTGCACAAGGAGGTCATTATCGTTCTTCCCAATCCATAATATTGTTACCTTTGACATGTCGAAGCAATGGTGAACAATTTACACATTTTCATCATAATATACATCACTAGAGTACAGATTATTTAACGATAAGAACGTTTATGTTCTGTATTATTCATCAATACATGGTTATATCACTAGTTAAGTTACAACGAATTAAACACCCAAACAAATCACTGCCACAAGCTATGTCAACAAACACAGAGGGTTGGCCTGTCAGTCACTGCTCCACTACTGACTCATTTAAACCAATCAAAGGAATGCATTATTAAAAACCCTAAAGTCATTGGTAAGCGAAGGTGTAAAAAAAAAATACATTTTAAAAACCTCATCAATGGTTTTTGTACAGTAGGTGTATTGTGGTTGTAATGTAGCAACTTTTTCATGTGTAAGTTAATTTACAAATTGAATGTGGCAAAATTTTGGTAAGACCAATCGCCGTCCTCGGAGCGTTATGAATAAATCTGAATTTTAATTTGTTTTATTTGTAGTATTATTTTTCAGTGTTATTAGAACAATTTATGATGAGGACATTTTCTATAAAATAAATGTGCTTTCTTGCCTCATGAAAAGTTAAAAATAATGGGAAATAATAAATTTTCAGTAATTCTATAATATTCTTACGATTTTTTTCAACTCGACCATTATTCCACGATCGAAACAAACTTGACCATGCACTATTTTTTTATAGGACGACGTCCTGTATCCATTTTCTACCATCAGAGACGCTTCCCAAAACTTACCAGTTATTACTTCATTACATGATATATATATATATATATATATATATATATATATATATATATATATATATATATATATATATATATATATATATATATATATATATATATATATATATATATATATATATACTGTGTAAGCACATGAAGTCCGGCACCCATTACACTATCGCGACTCATCTCACCCCACCCTCCTCGCCCTCTCACGACCCCAGGAGTCTCTGCTGTGTAAATGGGCTGCATTACTCTTCAGCTTCAGCACTCTTGATCCCGGGCAGTCTAGCCCCCACTACACACTGACTTAAATGTACATTACTTCTTGTATAACAGTCAATTCTGAGTTAAAATAAAATATATGTTACCTAATAAGTCTTTCACAATATCGACCTTTGACTCTTGACAGATGGTGCTGTTTAGCTAATGCTGTAAATATTCACCCTTACACTGTGTACTGCATTATTAAGATTGTGTCAAAATGCAACTGAAACTTACAGTGCTGCTTTTCAACGAGACGCCTATGTCACAAACAACCTTTGACACTGACAGGTGGCGTCGGAGGTGGCGGGGCCGGCCATCTGGTTGAAGCTTGACCCATGGGACCCCAACAATCACATCCTACTGTCTCACGGTGACCTTATCATCACAGAGGACCCCAGGTTCTCTGTCCTACATATCCCAGAGAGGAACGTTTATGTAGTCAAGGTAAGATAGAGGCAGATTGATAAATTAGATAAATCGGTAGATAGAAATACTGTACAAACGTGTACAGTATATGAAAAAAAACTGAAAAGTGGAACCTAGTGAGAAAAGAAAGAATAAATTGGAAGCTGGTTAGTTGTCAAGATGATATGGGATACCATTTAGTTCACAACACGAGAACATAATACAGTACAGGACTTAAATCCTCAAGAATGTGAACAAAACGATTTTTTTTACAAGGTAAAATATCTTGATAATTTCCTTGGAAATTTTAGGCATATCAATATATTAAATGCATATTATAAAGGAGTACAGTAACAACAAAAAATACTTTTAGAAAATCTAATATCTCTAGATTAGTGAAAAAATTTAAGAAATTTAATTGGTCATTGCAAATACAGTATACATTAAGCTCTCTCTCATATATATATATATATATATATATATATATATATATATATATATATATATATATATATATATATATATATATATATATATATATATATATATATATATATATATATATATGTGTGTGTGTGTAAATGAGGCAGAAAGTAGATTAGCAAACTGGAACTTGGTCACATTATTTGTTATGCCATATGGCAGCAGGGTCTACCATTAGACAATACATTATGCTTCCAATATCTTCCCCGGCGGTACAGGTGCTCCTCTACTTTAGAACGTTCAACTTAGAAACTTTCAGAGATACAAACATCATCACTGAAGGGGGTTACCTGCCAGAACAGGTGTTTAATGTGGATGAGACTGGATTATTTTGAAGAAAATTCCAGATAGAACAAACATTACCTAAGAGGAGAAGAGTGAGCCAGGTTTCAGGGTATTAAAAAGGGTATAGCTGTACTAAGGATCCATAATCTTTTCATATTTTACAATATGTTTGGTATCTACAAGAGTAAAGTTGGACTTACAAACAAGCCTCAGGAACGTAACTCATTCGTAAGTAGAGGAGCACCTGTAGTACCTCCCTGTATAGAATAAAAAAAAATCCAACTAAGAAAAATGTCAGGTAAAGAGTGAATGGGTTTAATTAAATAAGATAATTTCTGAGTGAGATAGAGTATGTGCGACTACATTAACACAGCAGACGGTCATGGTTGTCTGTCTCCTTCTCCCTTAGATCCGTGAAGTGTCAGCCGCTGATGCTGGCAGCTACCAGTGTCAGGTGCCCGTCAGCTCAGATGAGGAGGAGCTGCGTGTGGAGGCCGCCCCTCCTGTTGTGGTTGGTACCATTCTATTATTACTGAAGAATGTCCATGAAAAGTTATTGTCAGGACTTTCCACAACGAATGATAGATAATAAAATGTTAAGTTCTGGATCGCCACCTTATTTCTTTAGTAATGGTCAAGGTTTTGGGAGCTCTCATTTAACCAAAACCTGTTTAATTCATCTCAAATAGCTCATGGAAATTACACACAGATATTAAAGTTTGACTTACTTCTGTAATTTCAAAAGTCCTTTGTAAAAGTGGATCTTGACACACTATATGAGCCACTGCAAGTGTTGATGATGGTACAGCAGTAAGTTCAGCAAGACACGTACAGTATCTCTCGTTATGTTTCCTGGGTTTGAGTCTTGGCCCAGGACAGAAGTGGAAATGGTCACAAGGGTGTTATCTATTGTGACTCTCCCAAGTATGGTAGGTTTCTTCCTGTAACAAAGAAAAGACCAACTGCCCGAACAACAAACAAGCTAATAAATGTGGAGAAATGATAAATGAAGTGTACAGTAATTTTAAAATTAACCGATGATAAGGAAGAACACCGATACTGTCCGATAATCATTGAGCTACATGATCATGGGCATGTGTGATCACCATGAAGCAAAGCTTGGGACTGTAATGCACCAGGTGGCTGTCTGGCAGCACATGGGTAGACCGCAGCTGACAAGTGCAGCAAGAGATGCGTTCCATATTCCGCGTGTCAGAGATTTTGGACGGATGATGACCATCGTTTTTGTGAATTTTTTTATCGTAAGTAGGGGGATGGTCTTAATACAGTACATCACTATCTTTCAAGCAAAATATTGTAGATGAGGAGATTGTAAATCGGGGGATACAGGGGGTCCCCAATTTACGAACACTCGCCGATACAAATGGGGTTAAACTTGAAATTTATAGTAGACCCCCGGTACCTGTATAGAGATAATGCAGGTAGTGTATACAGTGTACACAGACCATGCATGTATACAAAGAATGTATATAGGCATTGCGGGTAATTAACAATGGTAAATACCTGTAGTAAGGCAACTCGACAAAGGATAGGCAGCAAAGCCATCAAATACCTATTTCCAGTAGGGTTTGCTTATTTTTTCTGGGTGTGTAGAGCACACAGAGGCAGTAGTCTACTTCAGAAGTAAATTCCAATTAACTTTAGTGGGAATAAAGCAAGTTGAACAAGAACGATAAATAGAGTGATATATAACCTGTACAGTGTATTGATAAACACTGATTGTAAGAGTTACATAATATTAATGTTTCAGTTTCGAAAAATATGCACACTTACACATACAGGCATATATGCAGGCACTCATACACAAAGTAACTAATTATGTGTCCCCAATTCTACAGGTAACACTACTCAAAGACAGCCAAGAACAGTCATCAGCAAGGCCAACCCACAGCTACACCCTCCTGATTCTCATCTGCTTACTGGCGGGTCTGGGCAGATAAGTTGTTTGGAAATAAGGAAGGGATTAGATTATATGTGAAGATACTTAAGGATTTGATTTTGTGATAATAATATGTATGTGATTAATAACATGTGAAATAATATTGGTGATATATTGATGTTAGAGTTCTTGTTATACTATGGGTGATAATATATGTCGTAAGCTAACAGAGTAGGAAGTGTGTGAGGTTGTGAATGCCTGGTCTGTTGACTGGAGAATAAGGGTTAGCAATATCAGGGTTACCAATAAAAGCCAATTGTAATAATTGTATAAAATTTTCATTGGATCTGTCTTTTATTCCAAACCATATTACTAAAGATAACCAACAGTATTAGTTTGCCATGGTGAAGTTAACGACTGTATTATTTTAAAAATTCCTAGAGTTTGTGGAAGGTGTTGCCTTGGACCCAGCTGGGGCTGAGGTGGTCTCTTGGACCTTTACTCTCATCTGTTGGTCTCCATTATCATGTTATGGAATATTTTATTGACAACCCTAAGTTGTGTTGATGTGAGTACCAGGCATTGTAGTGATAAATGATATGTGTGCCTGGATCTGTGATTTGTGTTATGTCCTGTTTACCCTCTATGTAAGTCTGAATGTATAGTCAAGTGATTGTCAGAAGATGTTTGGTAATGGGTGAAGTATTTTTGATTCTCCAGAAAATAAGATTAATAATCCCAGGAAGTAACTCACTAAATCACAGGTACAGTACAGGTACAGTACTGCACCATAATATGTACTGTATATAAATACGATATATAATACTGTACAGAGCACGAACAGAGACTTGGGATTACGTATTATACAAGAGTTGGTATACAGTCTATGAAAATAAATATTGACTACTGTACTGTACTATTATTTTTATGCAATACTAATGTTATGTGAAGTCATTGTTGCTTAAACTAATAACTTAATAAAATATTTTACATTAATTCTTTACTTTTTATCCGAGTACAAAATATTGAACTCTTATGTTGTATATCACTACAGAACTGTACTTAAAGAGAATAAGTATACAGGTATTCATTACTGTACCAATATGCATACATTTTTCAACTCATGTGCATGCTTTATATCCTTCACAAAAATGCAACTAAAATACATGCATCTAACATGTATTTAAAAAAGAGAAGACTTACTTACAGAATTAAGAGTAATTGGATCTGTTTTCCCACTTCCATTGTCACTAGTTCAACCGCCAGCACATTAAAAAAAACATATATATACATAAAACACTTCTTCCCAAAAGCAAGATTTAAAAACACATATAGTGGGAGACTAAACCCTCACCCCTAAGCACAGTCCAGTACAGTATCTGCTGCCACCACCACCAACCTCATCATCCTCACCCATCTGAATGTTATGCCCCCAAAACCTTCCAGGCACTGATCAGTGACATCAAGGTTGAGACTAAGATTGCATAAATGAAACTATTACAATTCAACTCATATTCAGTTTGAAAGAATTCTGATTACTCTTGAGATTTTTGGCTGAGGAAGAAGGGTGTGTTAAGTGTGGACGCTGTTAAACTGAGTGGTTGGTAAAAATAATATTGATAATACTGTATAATGGCAAAACTTGCTGATCAATAAATATGGTTGGTAAACAGATGATCATAATTATTATATAACCTTTATTAAAATTTTACTCTGTCACATTAAGAGCTCCACAGCACCAAAGCAGGGACTTAATCTCAGCTTTTACCTAACACTTCAGTTTATATTCCATATATAAGTAGATAAAAACTGGCCCTAAGAAGGCACAAAGAAAGAATACAGAACAGTACAGTACTGTATTTGATGAAATGTGTTATCATCAAGACACAGATCTCTTCATAAAACTAGATCAACAATATCCTTAGGAACATTGTTGCTAAACCCCAAATGGAGCAGTAAAAAATACACTATCACAGACTAAACATCTGACATGGTACTGTATAGGCATGTGGTATTTTCAGTTATTTATAGGGATTAGCCCACCTGGGCACACGTCACTGATCCACATTGGGGGGGCAAAAATATAATAATTCTAATAATAATAATACAGTAATAATAATAATAATAATTCAGCTCAACAATTTTTACTACATATCTCTTACAGATAGTTTCTTCATGAGCTTGTTGTAGAATCTACAGTATTTAGAGATACAGTACTACTCAAACACTAAATAAAATATAACCGAGTACAGTACCTTTTTTATTATGTTGTAAGAGGTTTATAATAATAAAAATGAGAAGTTCTAAATTGGCTACACCTACCAAGCACCGGGCTACTATACTGTTTAAGTCTACAAATATAGTAAACATCATTAGATTGTCAAGTAATATAATAATATATATTCAACAATAAGCACCTGCAGAACATATTAATAAATTATTCAGCCACACTACATGTTCATTAAATATAATAACTATATCAGAAGATACAAATTTGATAGAAATGTCAAAACATAATGTACCACATATAACGTATGTCTATGTACTGTACCACAGAACAAGTAATGAACACATTTTGTAAACATCAGACAGCAGCAGCTTATATAAATGTTAGAACGTGTCCTGACACATTATGAAATGTCAGGGCATTTTAAATATTAAAACAAATAAAAATATATTTAACAACAGGACACTCTCATGAGCTCCCAAAAATGACTTATATATTCCTCACATGTGATAAAACTTCAAGAGTCACATCCTTGCACATATTATAGAATGCACACATTACACTACTGAAGCTGTAGTGTAGCACACCATAAATCACAGAGTGGCTAAAAAAAAAAATATCACCTGGAACTTGTGCAGTTGTAACCCATTCACTGCGGGTTTGTGTTAGGTCTTCTATTTACTGTAGCCTCACTATATATGGTCTAACCTTTATGATTAGTTTGCAAACAGTACTGAGACAAAAATATGAGTGTTGTAGCAATCTCCCAATGCCCATTTGAAGTTGCCAAACAATGGTTCAGTCAGTTTTTGTTGTTAAGCTTCAGGAGGCCTCATGATGGCAAGTAGGGTGGCTGTATTCCACTGACTTGCATGTTATTATGGTTATCTTAAATATCTCTCACAAGATGTGGAGAAGATGGTACAGTATAGCAATGAATGTTGTACAGTACTGTTGTGTTTTGGATTTCATGCTACAGTACTTACAAAATGGTAAAAATATAATTCAAATTTATTTTTAAAGTTTTGCTAAATGTGCCAGAAAGGGATTGAGGGAGGCGGGGATTTGCTGGGTCACAATAGGACCTCTAAATTGGTTAACACTGCATAATAATATGTAACTTGAGAAGAAATATTTTTAATGCAATTAAAGAATGCTTGGTTATGTTCTGTTAGTAAAACCCAACAAAACCTAACCTAACCTCACTGACTTAAAGGGTATGTAATGCATGTTTAAGTACTGTGTACAGTACAGCTAAATCCTGATAATTCAGAATTATAGGAGCTTTACATTTAACAAAATAAAGTAAATTCCTAAGTATTATCAATTGTGTACAAAGTCACCAACAAAGTCACCACCAATTACTGTGGATGTATTTTTATCACCTGATAAGTGAGGTTTCTGGGTACAGTGGATACAGTACAATAAAAATACATTGGTAATAGTTTACCTTTCTTGAACTACAGTATTTAACACTTTATGTACAGTAATAGAATAAAAATTGTTTGTTACTTCCTCAATATTAGAATACTGTATTGTGGGATTGTAAACTGACAAATGAATATCTGAATGTATGACTATTTTCAAATGAAATTAATGAATGGCTTTGAGTGTTCTCATTGTTGTGGTTAAGTGGTCATTAAGAATTAAACTGTTGTCAGTAATTGCAGTCATTCTTAATATTCAATTCAATAATATTATTTAAGTTAATAAATATTGTTAATTTTGTTCAAGTTCCTATTTTTCATATTCTATGTAACTACAGGTATTTTGACATAAGGCTTCCTAAAATACATAATGCAGAATAGAAAAGATCAGTATGTGAAATCTCAATGATTCTTAAATAGCACCTGTTAGAACTACAACATTAAACCATTATTAAAGATGACATCAACCAACTAAACCTAACTTACCTAATCTAGGTTAGTTTGGCCAGGCAAGATTTGCCTGGTTCATTTGGGACTTAATAATGATGTGCTAGTTGCTTCAGAAAATCAGGTATTGATATTAAGTGTTTTGAAAATGTGTAAATTATAAAAAAATTGACTGATACACTTTCAAGTGTAATAAATGGATAAAGTTAAAAGAACACATTAGTGTTGTGACACTGAAGGAACAGATTAAGAATATCTTAGACTACTGTACTACTAAAATTCTAAAAGAAAACCTTATACAGCACAGTACCTCATAACTGTCAGGTTATTATGATGGAACTAAACAACAGCGACACTCTACACTCTGAACATTGGCTTCTTCTAGACCCAGTTTTATTCCATATACTGTACTTGTGCTTATCTTGAAATCATCAGACAATCTGCATAGTGGGCCACCACTCAATCCTTACCAGCACTTTTAACTCATCAACAATAGACAGACTTTTGTAATTTCCAACTGGTTACCACAAAGTTTTCTTAACAGCTTCATTAGAAGTGTTAGGATCTTCATTGGAAGACATTACAAAACCATTAAGGCTTCCAAAATGCAAAAAATTTAAAAAGTTTATCAAAGTGACGAATTTGTACACGTTTTCTTAATGCAGAATACCCACACTAATTGATGGATGGTACCTGTGCTAGCCTCTGAATGAGGGGACACTACTCATCATGTGATTTGTTTCTTAAGTTATTTACTATGATTCAGAAAAGTCAAAGTAAGATTGGAAGTGCAGAATTGCCAAAAGTAACCGAATTAAAAAAATTTGGTTACTGTAAACTTTATATGGAATAATATTTAACAAACAGTATTCAAGAGTTGTTCAGGTTCCAAGATTGCATGTACTGTACAGTGCAATGGATACATAAAGTATAAAAATACAGCTAATATCCTCAGATAGTTTAAATGTAATATAAAAGTACAAACATGGGCAGCTATTATATATGCTGGTTGTGACTGTACAACTAAAAATAATAATTTATAACTGGAAGGAAGTATCTTAGTATATATTATTTAGTGCAATGTCATCTTGGTTTTTAGCTGTGTTCAGCTGTATATTATACACTGTTAACTGGTGTGGTATAGTGGGTGTATTGTTTACAGGGATATGTATTTTGGTGTTTAGCTATTTATACCATACACTTAAATCCAACTACAGACACTATTCTCTACCTCACAGGAGGATACAATGCTTTCTACCTGTGTTTACACTAACCTCTCTTCATACAGTGTTTCAGAGCCTCTCTGTAAATTTACTACTCTTTTACACAGTGATCTCTTGCAGTCTGCATACTGACCTTTTAATGTCTCTGGTTGTGGGCTTTCTCCTCTAACCTCATATACAGTGCTTCTTGTTTGTACTGTATATACAGTACATATTTAATCTACTTTCTGGTTACGATTAAAATGAAATTTCTGGTAACTCGTATTAATTGATATCTCTTCAATAGAACATGAAGATGTGGAAGTCTGCATATAAATAAAATTTATAGATATAAATGGACAACAGGTAGCAGGAAATATCCAAACAGCTACACACCTTTGAGCTAAACACCATATAATTTACAAGAAATTTACTTACAACCATAAAAACACTGAAACTGTGTTGTCTTGTGAGTGTATGAGAAACTGCTTTGGATATGTTACTTACTCTCTTCAATACCTTTCAGTTTAACAACTGTTCAGATGGTTACTCACTTGTTGGACTCTTACCATCATCAGGTACTGTACTGGGCATGTACAGTACACACTCTTATTGTACCTGAGCTTGCAACAAGACTGATTTAGAGTGGTCTTAAAAGAGTTCACACAAGATGCTGTCACAATCTCAGCTGGGAGATTATATCTTGCGATTTATCATTATTAATATACATAAATCTATATTTAGTTTCTTTCTTTTTTTACATAGCATTAAAACATATCAACAAATGTATATCTGATCTCATTTTGCTTACGATTCTAATTTCATAAAATTACAACAAATGTACAAACATTACAAAATCTGACAGTCAGTTGATAATCATTTGGGTCCTCTGAGTCCTTGGTTTAGTCCACACCGATGAGATAGTCGATAGTAGCGCCCTGTTGTGATAAAAGCACGAATCAGAAAATGATAATAGACTTCTACTGTAATTGGATTTATGATGAGAGATGGGAATTACAAGACAACAAAACTAACAGGAAGCACTTGATGAAGGAAGAAGTGGCGGATTATATAATGATAGCGGATCTGTGGATAAGCTGATTATGGAAAAAATTGGAATGAAACAAATATGACAGACCTTGTCAAGTAATGGTGACAAATGGGAATCAGAGTATGGTGTGAACATTAAAGTGCTGTGTATTACATGACGGAAGTAACCTGGATATTTTATGTTTTTGTATAAAATACTGTAATGAGATGATAGAGGAGTTTGGTGTTAAATGATGAAGGTTGATCAAATTTTGAAATAAAACTGCATATGAAAAACAGAAAGTAATACAAAACATTAAATAACTTGGATTTTTCATTTTTCATCAACAACAGCACAGGAAGTATAAAGTCACTTGGCATCAAAGCAGCTATGGGGGTTAACTTGATACACAGTGGCCTTATACTGCTCCTAGCCAGATTCCACATCTACCTAGATATATCATACATGCCCATTCCTATATCCGGGTACGGTGGGTCCTGTGAGATGCTTCATTAATCATTTGATTCTTAAGACCTAGTAATGGAATATGAAGCAATATCTACATAAGCATTGGGTAGAGTAGCAAGAATGCTCTGCCAGGTTACTGTCTTATGGTTCAGTGACTGATCTATCCTATCTCACTGTAAACACCTATGAGCTGTAGGATCCTAAAGGTCTTTGGATAGTGAGAACCTTTCTAATTCTTCATAGCATAAAAACATCACTTTTGATAAATATGTCTATACCTGTACTGGATTTCGAAATAGCTCTTGACACCCATGATCATTCTATTACAGCATTATTATAACAGCTATTGTTTTTTTATGAATTAACTTTTACTTTTATCCTCTTCACCACTGATCGGCTCGTTAGCTGCTTGGGCAGTCGGTCACATCTCTGTTACGCACTGTTGGCAAGTACTGGGCATGCACCGGCTCCTGAATGTATCTGAACCTGCTCCAGTGTTGGTCAAGTCTTGTCTTGAAAGAGCTCACACTCGGTGCCGTCACAACACTTTCTGGTAGATTGTTCCAAGAGTTCACAACTCTCACTCCAAAAAAGTTTGCCCTCACACTTTTCTGGACCTGCGGCTCCTTCAACCTTGAGCTGTGACCCCTTGTGGGGCGATAGTCCGCCAGCTCCAAGTAAGGACACTCGACTGAGTAGTGCCCCTTGAGATGCTTATACACCTCAATTAGGTCGCCCCTTGCCCGTCTGTAGTATAAGCTAGGCAAGTTCAGGCGCTCCAATCTCTCAGGGTAGTTGAGGTGCCAAAGTGCAGGCACCAGCTTGGTGGCCCTCCTTTGAACATTTTCAACCAACTGACAGTCCCTAGCATATCTCGGAGATCAGCTGGGGTGACAGTACTCCAGATGGGGAAGCACTTCACTCTTGAAGATCGTTACGAGGGACGGACCGTCTAGATATCTGAACGACCTTCTTATAAGATCCAATAATTTATTTGCCTGATTTACCTTCTTCTCGCAATGGCCCGAGAACTTCAGCTCATTGTCAACATACACACCTAGGTCCTTCTCACATTCAGTCTCAATTAGTGCAGTTTCTTCATCCCGTTGGGACATATGTTATGCCTCCTTACCGTTGGTACGCCCCAGGTGCATCCTCTTACACTTCGTGACATTGAATCTCAGCAGCCATTTTTTTTACCATTCTTGGAACTCACAGAGATCCTTCTGCAGCTTCACAGTCCGCATGGTTCTTAATTTCCCGAAATAACTTGGCGTCATCGGCAAACATTTGTATGGAGGAGTGTACAACGTCAGGCATGTCATTTATGAAACAAACAAACAACAGTGGGCCCAATACACTGCCCTGTGGTACCCCGCTTGTGACAGGTACAGATGATGATTTCGTGCCATTAATCACCACACACTGCTTGTGGTCATGTAGAAAGTCTTCTATCCATGCTAAGACATTTCCCCAAATTCCATACCCTTCCAGTTTAATTTTCAGCCTTTCGTGGGGTAGACTGTCGAAGCTTTGGCAAAATCTAGGTTTATATGAATTAAACACTTGGAACTGATGTCAGGTGAAAATCATCAAAGAAAAGGTCGCCTGATTCCAAGCTGATGGTCATATTTTATTAAGTTAATGCTATAAATCTCGGACAGCTAAGGATGAATTTGCATGGGGGGGGGAGAAAGCCCCCCTCACCCTGATGGATCTTTCTTCACCCACACTCAGGTTACATCAGTGTGGTGAGTAAAGTTGGACAAGGTTCTTGATAGAGGAAAATTTATGGAAAAGGAGATGAGAATGAAGACACTACCAATCAAAAATAATTAACAGGAACTTACCGGTAGGGAGTAGAGGAAGAGGAAGAGGAATAGGAAGAGAAGGACAAGGACGACTAGTGTGATGCAGTACCACTTGTAATTCTTCCAAATGACGTGCCTGAAGGACTTCCAAGGTGATGTGATCCACAGGAAGGAGGTAGCTGGTCGGCTGTTGGGGAGAGAGAGAGTCATATACCCCACAGTAACATGCTAGTCTATAAAATATCATTCAAGACTGCACAGATTAGCAATGTCTGGCAACTTGGACATGCCTGGACTAGGTGACATCATGACTTTATTCGAGCTGAAACAATACTAAGGTATACATTCAAGTAGGTTTCCTCCCATAAACAATAAATTTAAATGTTCTAGAATAATAATGCACAAAAGATCTAAAAAAAATTTAAATTGCATGTGAATCTGTACTTCCATACACCCACACTCAGGCAGGCAGGAAGGTGTATGCCTCTAATCTTCAGAACACAAACTCTTCTTAGTGACTCACTTTGGCTCAGGCAATTTGGGATTCATGTTGGGTTCATCACGTCCCTGGCCTGCTGGACGGAGTTTAGCATCTTTCTCTGAGATCACCTCAAGTTCCAACTCTATCTTGCCCTGAAAACACACAAAAACGAAAGATCATCCTTAGTAATAATTGCTACAATCTAGTGTGCAAGTTAAAAGAGTGGCAAAGGCAGTTAAAGCCAGCTAAAGCCAGCTGAGTGACTTCTACCTCTGTAATTTGAATTTTGGTAAACAATAAAAACATTTTTTGTCTAAAAGTCTTCCACTGAAGGTCATATCCCAGAAATCTAATCTGAAAGTTTGACATTAGTCAATACATGTGATGGATGGTTTTCTATATTGCTTGTACATTATAGTTTTTAATGATGTTGGAAAAGTACCCAAAAGTATTATACTACATGTATATTTTACCAGATTTTTTCCTTGTAGCAGTAATTTACGGTATGTACCTCGTGGAAGAAAGGTCAGGTAGCATGATATTTACCAATAGCATCATAACAGGACCACAAGATCAAAGATAAAATACAAATGACACAGGCTTACATATCAGAATTCATAATCACAAGTACAGAGTTTGAGTAATTATAAAGTAATCTTTATTATCATAATACTATATTAATATTGTGAAGTTTATCATTTCTTTATATAATCAAAAGAAAAAGGACCAAATCTGGTTGTAATAAGAACATATATATAGTTGCAAGTACTTACAGCAATCTCTGTTCTGCCTTCCACCACTCGTGTGAAGGGGAAGAACCCATTGACACGCTTGGCCTCAAAAAGGTTAATGGAGTTGGTGTGATCATCAAGCATGGTAATGGCCACACTGTTGGCATCACCATCACCCATCATTTGAGGTACCTGAGATGGTCCTACACCACGCACTGACCTGGCAGGCTTAGGCAAACGACAGAGATCAAGGGTTGTCTCACCTGTAGGACAAATACCCCAGTATTTCACTAATAATTAAGATGTAAAGGCTCTGAAAGTGCCAATGTTACATCTGGTGTAATCTCTAAAGTCTAAACAGTACATGCAGTCAAACACAGAAGCACTTAGAAAAAGGAAAATAAGTTAAATATACAAACAAAAAAGGAGGTTGTGTGTACTGAAATAATCACCCAGCACGGTGATGATACTCAACTATTACTGTACTGGAGAAATAATCTCAAAAAGTCATCTCACCACAACGACAATAAGTAAGTATATATACAAATGACAAGTGATGAAGCACTAACATGTCTGTACTACATTGTGGTCTACGTACTAAGATAATCATCACTGGCGATTAGGTCACTGTCCCAGAGTTGAAGTGTCAGCTGTGGAGGCCGTCGTTGTTGTGTGGTGTGAAGGCTCCACGGGTGCTCCTTATGCTCCACTATCATCACCTGCTCAGCCTCCAACATCTCTAGATTGTATACTAAACGCCAGTTGAAGTTAGCCTCCCCATCCAAACATCTGAAAAAGAATGGTTTTAATTTTATATTTTTTAAAGATAGTGACACAAAACATTTAAACACAGTCACTAATTTACAAGATACTTTTAAAATACTGAAGCTTACACATGGTAATGAATTTTGCTGCTTATTTCAGCTATTCTGCCCCAAATCAGTAAAGGGCTTGTAAGAATGAAAACTATTAGAAAATAATGTGGCCGACCTCAAATGAACACAGGACCAATAATAAGAGAAGTAAAAGGAAATTCCTCACTCTTGTTGATGGTTCTTAGGTAATATTCCCTCTAAGGCAGTTGGTGGACCTGAACACTAATTTTTCCACACCATCAAAATTATAGCAAGAACTGTAAAATGTTACATAAGTCAAGTAAAGTTGCCAGGATAAAATATCAGTGCATGCTTTCCTTAGGTTAACTTTGTAATACAATAGTAGCAATGTAGCATCACTATCATTATCCCTGGGTTAGTGCGGTATAGGTGACTGGCTTTGATGGCATATTTGTAGATATAGTACACCAAAATACAACAAATAAAGATTATACATCACCATACTACTATAAGTTAATTAACACTAAGTCCAATTAAATATGCAAGATATTGCTTTGATCATAGAACAATCTGACTAATAAGAGACTTGATAGCATACCTGAATGAGATTCAATTTGAGATCTACCTACAATAGCTACAACATGAGACTCATCCATAACTTAGGATTTATCTACAATATTCATACATTACCTGGAGGGGAGGTGACAATCTCAGCTAATAAGTTACTGAGACAAGAACACCAAAAATACATAACTTGGTAATTATTTATATGTCTGTATCTTTTTACATAAAAATATGATAAAAGTAACTTGTATTTTGCAGAAAAGTAACTTCGATGAATATTCTAGTAGTACATAAAATAGAACTAACAAGACTAAGGAACTACTGTAAAAGACTTACCTATGGTGGATGTCAGTCTTCTGAACATTACTGGTGCCCTGGAGCCAACCCTTGACGTACACATCACTCATCATCTCTCCTCCAATGAAACTCGTCTCCTGCAGGGGTGCCTCATACACGTTGTACACCACCACCCGCAGCATATACCTTCAAGGATAAATGCTCCTTGTATAACTAAATCTAACATGTACTGTTATACATTTCCAGCTTCTTAAAACAGAAAAACTTAAGATGAGTCATTGTCAATTTTGGGGGGGATGTAAATTTGAAAATGTATGATGTTTTTGAGTCATAAAATTATGCCTCAAGATTGTTCCTTCGTTGTCATAGCAGCCAAAAGAATACATTAATATTTTGATGTATCTCAAGTTTTTCAAAATGAGATTAAATACACATCCTGAAGTCTCACTTGTGTGCTTGACGGGGAGTAATATCAACTGGAGGAGGCAATGGCTGGCTGGAGGCTGGGAAGAGGTCAATCCATAGCTTGAGCTGACCTTGTGGAAGCCCTGGGTGAGCTGGGTGCATCAACACCCTGTTCTCCACATGCTCAGGCACCAGAGGCAGGGCCTTGTGTAAGACATAGAGGGCAAGTCTCTCTCTCGAGTCTCCAAGTGTGGGTGGGCGAACCTTATCCTCCAACTCTGTAAGTAATGAATTCCTTGTGGGTACAAAAGGAGTGTGTGCCAAATATCTTACTCTCTCAATTATTTGTAGTTTCTCGTTTGTTCACTCATTCACACCAACACTCAATGTATCAACTTTTCTTCCTATTCATTTAATTACTAGAAACAGTATACTGTATGAGTATACTTTTTCTTTTATAATTTTATCTGATTTTGTTGCATACTAAAAATAAATCCAATTTACAGGTTTCCATATCAATAATACTGCTAATTTTACATTCTAACTGTGGTACTATGAAGGTGTAGTTATGCAATACCCTGTACATTATTACACAGACAGCTGTAACTCCTAAACAAGGTTCTACCAAGTGGTGATTAATTAAATAAAAAATGAAATTTATCAGAAAATAGTGATTGTGGATGATAGGCAGTACTATGTAGTTCAGCAAAGAGGTGTAGCATGTCAGAAATAAGGAAGCCTTCACAGGAATATATTATAGGTTTAGATCAGCACTTAGTAAGGCCGTATAGTGGTGAGAGACATGAGTGCTACTGTTGCAGACTATTGCAAGGAGAGATGAGACAATGAAGAGTAAAAAAGTGGGGCTATCCTGTACACTATCTGGTTACTTACCAAAGTCTGTAAGAGAGTAAGTGTCTCCTGCTAGTGTAAGGCTGAGGGGCTGGGCATGCCATATGGGGCCCTCCAAGTTCCTCAGACGTGCACCCTTTGTCAGGATCTCTGTTGGCAGTTCCATGTCCCTCCACATATTAGCTCCACTCCTAGGTATCAGGATGAACAATATATTTCACAAATTATAAAATTATTTACAAGTAGAAGGTATGATTAATGCACAGATGTAGAAAGTGTAGACAGAGAAAGAAAAAGAAAAAATTTACAATTCTGAGATCAGGCTCATATTATCAGAAAAGAAAGACAATTCATATGACTGAATACACGAGTTGGATCATCATTCAAAATTTGTTTAAAAGACTTTCTGATATATGAACTGTACACATGTCCAGTCCCCCAAAAAGGCATGGCTACCCATGGGGTTGATATGGTTCACTGTTTTATAAGCAGTGTTAGTCCACTAGTTTTGGAACGGTTGGTACAGTCGACCACAGGTATTGGCATACATCATTACCTACTTAGTGGGTCAAATTATCTGGTAACAATTTTTGTCCAGAAAATTGGAAGGATTTGAAAATGGCCAGTAATTTAAGCTATATTCCTGCAGATATTTTATAAATAGATGTTATGTACAGTTGAATACTGTTAGTACTGATATGGGGAACAGACATAACACTATATGATGATGCACTGAAGAATATATCAAAGCATTTTGTTCAACATTTTAAATTGTAAAGACAGAAAAAGTAAAGATACTATTTTGGGGACTGTACATAAGTTAACTGTATCAAAATCAAGAAAATCTCTCATATTCCCTGAAACAGACTAAAAAAACAAGTTTGCCAACTAAAATTTTAGAAATACTTTATGAAATGAATTAAAAGTAGAAGAATATTCGAATCACCTGAATCTCCACCCCAGTTTATTTCCCTTGAAGATTAACCACCCTAACACTACTTGGGGGATGAGATTAGGTTTGGATGGCTACTCTTTAGGTGAAATAAGTTGGATTGAAGATTATGCTAGGTATCAACACTCCCCAACAATAATACTCCAGATTTATAAAACCAGGTACAGTAGTACTGTACTAAAAACTCATATTCCTGAAAGGCATTACTGGTACTCACACATGGTACTGGAGAGGAAGACCCACAGTAGCTCGGTGGCGTGTTAAGAAGCGGTTCTCCAGGTCAATGGTCGTCTCCCCAATGAGATCATCTGAAGTAATTAAATCTCGGTCCCACACCTGCACCACCAGATCCTTGTGTATAGGCAGCGTCCCACTGACCTCGAACACCCTGACACATGTAAACATTGAGTGACTAGAGTATTGAGTTGTATAAGATGAAACATTGATATATTCTGGTTACTGTGGGAAAGAAACATAAAGACAAAAGATTGAATAATGAAAATGAATCATTGGATCAACTGCATCATAAAGTCTTGGATTCCACTTCAATGGTATAGATCGTCCTTATGTTAAGTATTCATTGGGATATATGTTTAGTCCAGTGAAAATTTACTAAATACAGTAAAAAAAAAAATATAAACATAACTTCACACTGAGTTTTTCCCCTCTCTCTTTGACCACATATCTATTTACATACTAATTCCTTCGCTCCTGTTATCATCTTTCATTTACACTCTCCTCTCAACTACCATTTTCTTTGTTCCAGTCATCATTATTTCCTACTATTCTCTTCCCTCAAATAATTCATCTCTTTCATATTTCTTTCTTCTTCTCCTACATTCTCTTTGCCCATGTATCTCTTTCTCTCAGTTTCTTCTCTTTTTCACAACCCATTTCCTTTATGTCTCTGCTTTCCTCATACCATTCATTCTTTTCTCCCCCCCCCACCATATCTACCTTTCTTTCCTCACACCTTCCTTTCCTCTTTTTTCCCTCACTTCTCACATTTACACTTTATACCCTCCCTTCTTCTCTTTCCTCCCTCCTACTATCTTTCTTTTAATTTCTTTGCACCCATCTATATCTTGAGTTTCATCTTTTATTTCTTGTCCTTCTTCTATCTTCCTTCTCTTATCTCTATCTCTCCCACCTTCCTCCTCACCTCTCACCTTCCTTCCCACCTCTCCAACCCCTCCCACCTTCCTCCTCTCCCCCACCTCTCCCTCCCTCCCACCTTCCTCCTCACCTCTCCCTCTCCCCACTACTATACTCACTCTCCAAACAAAGGATTAATTGTATTGGGTCTGTAGTTGTCTTTAGATGTTTTCGTGGTCTTGCCGAGCTTGACCACAACATAGGGATCAGAAGAACCACCAGCATCCTTGGGAGCCAAGTCCTGCCCCAGCACCACATACACCCGCACTGTCACCTCTTGACGCTCTGGTGACGGGAACCCAGCGAGGATCAAAGGAAGCTCCTCTGGGTCTTCAGTAGACAGTGGGTACACACGGAAAGTGCCCTAAAACCAGAAAATATGAAATGAGCTTGCGTTTATACCTATGTACTGTATACTCGTACAAGTAGAAACTGCTAAAATACTAATAGTATTCATTTTCTAAAGTGTATATACAGTGTAAATTTACAATGCAACAAGCAATATAGGATTATACACAACAAATAATAATGAAATGGCATAATGTACTGTACTGTACTATACAAGGATTTGCATGTCACTAGAGAAATCTAGATCTGCATATGTAGAAGTAAAATTCATTTCTTGTTTTTACAGTTAGAAATGAACAACTGACAACCATAATCTCACATGATTTCTCTTTCACTAAGGCACAGCTGACTTTTTGGCTCTGAAGAGAATGATCAGCTGATTCTGTGATTCATTTGTAAAATCAAATGGAACACAGGTAAGGCACTGACCTTAAACTCGCCAGCATTCTGTGCCTGGTCTCCACGTCCTCGGACTAAAGGCACTGTGTCTACTAAGTCCTTGAACCCTGAGAATGCGGTCTCATCTTCCAGGGGTCCCATCAACACCTCCAGCTTCTCGTACCTGAGGGAAGAACTCCTGGTCACCTCTCATATTTAATGAACTGGGAAACTGAGGCAAGTTCTAAGGGTTAACTTGGCACAAACTTGTCATAAAAAGCAAGGGGTGTGGGTTGGTATAATGTTACAGGGTATCAATGTACACAGTTTACATAGCCAGGCTGAGTGCTTCAGTTGTAATATATACCTATGATGTGGTAAGCGGAGTAGTAGTAAGTAGTAGTAGTAGTAGTAGTAGTAGGTAAGCTGAGAGTTGGTAAAGCAAAACATTTATTGTATACAATTTTACAGCCATTGAAACATTCAAAATCTTGAAAGGGATAGAATATGTCAACCTGTGCCCTTTCTTTGTGATGTCACATTCCACCAACATGATGGGACATAACTTCAAGCTCGATAAGTTATCATGCAGAACAAACATAAGGAAATACATTACTTCTTCACACAGAGGGTGGTAGACATATGGAATGGTTTACCAGCCCAAGCTGTGGAATCATAAACAGCACTGGGCTTCAAAATTACCCTTAACAAAATTATCAAGAACAATGGAGGGATCCTACACAGGCCACTGGTCTCCTTCCCTTAGCATAGCCACCTCTAGTAGGTGGCCATTAGGTAAATAAGATAAATAACTTTACAGTTGAGGGAATGAAGGTGGCAAAGTACAGTGCCATCCACAGTGTCTCCATCAGTACCAATTCTTTGTATTCAGCATGGAACCCACTTTTTTCACATTTATAAATAAGTTAAATCATTATAACTGTACAATGGTTCAACTTACCCTTTGGTGAAATAAGCTCCAGCACGGTCTGCCTGGCCACATGATACATAGTACTTGGCCCACCAATCTATTTCTGTGTCCACTGTACCGGGCTGCAGGAGAGGCAACACAATATCATGGTAGCAATTGAAGCCAAGAGATACAGATAGAGGAAGTTTTTGATTATACAAGTCAGTTATGAAAGTAGGAGGCAATGGGATGTAGATACAGTATATGATGTACAGTAAAGTATACCTGTACTGTATCAGAAGATAAAATAGGACAGCTATGGGATGTGAACTTTGAGATACAAGAGCAGCAGAGCCTTATGATAACATAGAAATATCTATAAATTAGAGTGGTGGGGTATGGGAGGGTGTTTGAGCAAGATATTATCATTGACCACAAGGCAACACATTTGAGAAATGTATCTGGAGATGAACAGAATTTTTGTACAGTACTTACTGGTGGGAGATGGGAGTACTTGTACAGTACAATAAAGACTGTCTGAGAATAAGAAAGAGGCTGTTGTTGATGGTTATATACTGGGTTACAGCAAAAGAAAACTGAGGTCCACACAAATTACCAAGAAATAATATTATATGGTACAAGGATGAGATGAGAAACAAGTGGGAACACTGAACAGGTAGAAGTGTACTAATGGGGTAAAATATATGTGTGTACAATATTGTCTTGCTATCTGGGAAACACTGGTGTGTATCAGTGTCTATGAAATACACATCGCATAATGAGAGCAGCTGGAATAGGAAATATTTAACAGTAACAGCAGTGTGATGAGAAGGTAGGGGAAGAAATGTATATTGGTTCTGCATGGTCATTATCTGAATGAAGTGTTCCAATGTTAAAATAAGAGATAATAGTGGAGGCTCAAGGAGGCTGAGATGCAATAGTGGCATACAGAAATAGCATAATATATCTAGTCTTAATATAATCAACCTTTTGTCAGCAATAAAAACTTCTTATCAGATTTCTTCATCAAAATATTGTAATCTATTATTAACTAACTTATCAATTGCAGTAAAAAGTGACTCTACAATAATTAAGTAATGCTTAAAATGCATTTATACCCGGTAAGTACAATACTATATTGACTACCTACCCAAATATTACAGATAAATTCATAAATTATAATATATCATGTATAAAAATAAGTGTTAACAAGTCTTCCATAGCAAATAATATGTGCCTACAAAACACACAGTCTACAGTAAAGAAGTTAGTGCTATGATAAGATGGTGAGACAAACAAAGCAGGTGCAAACAGAGGAGCAACACACGATTATAGAATCACATATAAATGAAAGCTCCACACCATTGTCTTTAAGCTGTTAATGACTGCTGGCCACATTATCAATACAATTCCACTACCATGGTGTTGTCTTCTAACAAAAACAAAATTACTTATGTTGTCTTAAGATACAAAAAAATCATTGGTACTGTCTTAGGACACAACAAGATTCTAATGTTGTTTTATGATACATTAAATTTGCTGTATAATGCACTATACTGTAGTTTCTAGTAAACATTTTAAGTCAGAAGTCATTAATATGCTGAATGGATTACAGTATAATTAGCTATGGTACAATTGACGAAATGTGTTCCTACACTCCATGTGGTAACCCGTGTCTCCAAACGGCCAACCTATATGACCTACAGCAAACCTATCCACCAATCACGTCCGTCGTTACACGACCAATACCCATTTATTCATAAATAGTGATACTACTACTGCAACGGTGCCGTTTGGAGACACAGGTTACCACAGGGGGCATAGAAATACATTTCCACAACTGTACCAGTAATCCATATACTGTACCTGTATCATGAACAGGGATCTATACTATATCAAAGTCTGACGTATGGTTGTTACTGTCAAGATCACAGTGTGGGCTGTGGTGTCTTATCAGACATAATCAAATAAAACTTATAAAACCTGAAGAATTAAGTGAAGTTCCACACTAGACTGATGATATTCTGCTGTGAGACAATATTCCGAACTACAATTGGATATCTAGGAAAAATTGACCAGCAACTGTAGAGAGAAATTGTCCATATTCTTACCCCTAATGCAGGCAGGGTCATTATTTAATGCAGTTTAATATTCCTCTTATTTGTCATACACTTTTCACATATACTGTATAACTTATACTGTATCTCCATATGCATTTCTTTATTTAATCTACAGAGACAGAATAAGTAATATCTCCGTTAGCCGGAATCCCTCAAACTCGGAACTTTCCGATAGCCGGAATTTTAAGTTTCTTGGAAAATCGCTCCCAAAAACGGAAATTTTCCGGAAAATTCCGGCTTTTTTAAAAATTTTCCAAGGGGCATATTTTTCGGAAAATTCCGAGAAAATTTTCCCCGTACCAGGAAAAATCCGGGGATGGGGTATTTTATTTCCGGGTTTGAGTGATTAAAATCAGGCGCATTTTCTGGAACTTCCAAGAACATTTTCCGTTACCTGGAAAATTCCGGGGATGAAGGATTTTTTCAGGCTATTTTTTTTTTTTTTTTCCTATGAGAGAGTCGTCTTTTTACCAGGAAATCTCTCATTCCCGGAAGTGCTCTGCACCAATAGTTAAGGCTACCGGATATATCACTGTACTGTATTAGCAAATCCATTCCATATACAAAGGACACTTCACTATAACATTATTAACATATACTTTACATGGCAATCACATAGTCAATCACAAACAATATGACATGCATATAGCATGCTGAAATTAATAAAACATGTGACATGCCAAAGAATGACAAGCAGAACAGCATATAAATCAACATTCTGGTGCATATGCTTTGGACTAAAATCTATCAATTTATATCCTTGAAAATAAATATTATTAGAAACTTTTTCTTTTCTTGTACTGTACAGTATATGCAAGTAATCTTGTGATGACAGTTTAAAGACTTACCAATTCAGGTATATGTATAGCCCTGCCTCCCTAATATTTTCTGCTTTCGTTGATGCTGGTTTAATCCTCTTAAGAATGGGGAAAAATAGATGATTAGAATTGTTTATAACTTTAGTGGGAGTAGTACTGTAGACTACAGTGTGTTGTAATGTGTACCTCAGGCTCCTAATTATACCAACTTAACCTTTGAGGACTTCTAGAACAGTATAGAGAAAGAGAGAGATTCAGAAAAACTGTCACACACTAACTCAAGAGTTTTCTCAATAAATCTTTCAAAACCCAAGACAGAAGAGAGACAGTGTACACATCTACAGTACAGTATATGCCTATGGGCCAGCAGACAGAGAGAGTGTACACATCTACAGTACAGTATATGCCTATGGATCTACAAAGTTTTGAGTGGGGCACTAACCTCTACGGAAGCCTGGTGGTGATTGAGAGTTGGGCGAGGGAAACCTTGGTCGGCCTGAAGAAGAACCTGTTAGTTGATTTGGGGTCAAATAATCATAAAATTCTAATGATCTACACTTAGCTATGAGTCTATTAATCTAGTGAAAACTGTCCCTACCATATTTATCAGAAGTAAAATATGCTTAGTGTACAGTACAGTACTATATAAATGTAGAGTTAAAAATGTAGAAGTGTGGTGGTTCTAGGCGTGAAACCCTGAAGGATTTATTAGCATGCATTATTGTGCAAAAGGTTTTGCAAGAATTGTGTGACTGCTAAAGGATAATGCATACAAAACAGTTTTGAATTTAATTGCTGGTACAGGCATTGTCCTGGCTGTTAAACAAACTCTTGACAAAACTATTGCAAAAATTAATTTAAAATCAGAAATAGAAGTACAGTACTATAGATGGATCCTGGTTAGTAAATCAATTAGTGCAAGTTGAAAAAAAATAGTAACCTTGTTGAAGCTGAGGAAACAGTTGAGATAATAAATAAACAATTCAACTACAGTATAGCTACACCCAGGTAGTGGCAGGGACTCGCAATACACGTGTGAGTGATGTAGGATCAGAGCAGGTTATGCAACAGTTAGGGACCCTCTAGGAGAGTGTGGAGAAAATTACATCTAGTACTGACATGGGGAAGGAGGAATTCCAGGATCATCTTGAGAACAAGAAAAACATTACAAAAGCAAGTAGGTTATTTGCATTTTCTCTTGTAAACATCAAGGAAAATGAGTACCGTACTGGTAATTTAATGCCTCCACTTGTCCTGATCTAAGTCTGCCTAACTATTATCTTTAAAATACAAGTCTCAAAACTGATACACTCACAGGTGCCCTTAATTTTTTTTTTTTATTTCCTACAGGTATTACAAGTTCCTCCTGTAGGTAATAACACTGGACAAGGAATGTTGTAAAAAAAGAACAGGCTAACTTGCTCCCACAACCCAAACAAATAGCAATTTTGTAAGATACTTCATATGACCGATCGCCCAAGCGGCTAATGAGCTGACCAGTGGTGAAGAGGATAAAAGAAAAAAAGAAAAGAATGACTTATATAATTTGTACACTGTACAGCACTCTATTAGCTACTGTACTTACTGTACATCAGAGGAGTGGAGGAAGGGAGAGGACAGTTTACAAGGAGGCCTAGGGGTGAGGATCATCCCTCATCTCCTCATTCCACAATTCATTTACCACCTTGGTTTATCTAAAACCTGTCCACGTTGCCACACAAAGTCAGACCTTTTCTTTCTTTCTTTGAATTTGTTGCATGATTTGCACAATGCTTCTGAGACATTGTTAATAAAATAAAGCCTGGCACAACTATCAAATTTCTAAAAACCATGTTGCTAAGCTTTTGATAATAGAAGACCAGCAAGTATAAATATAGGACTGAGGAGCATCATCTTCCCTTCTCATCCACTCACATGCTATTGGCTTGTGAAGTGATCAGGATCATACGTAAAGCAATGCATGAGTACCATTGGTTAGCTGCATCACCCAGTCTGTTACTAAATGTTAAAGGTTCTGGTAAATCAACCATGTATCACAAAAATGCTCCTGCAAAAGGAGAAATGATATATCAATATGTTAACTGTGTATAAGCATAAGTGTGTAAGACAAGGGACTACTGTGTTGGCCTCATCTGATACCACATCCCTCACTGCTACATCATATCTCCTGCTATAATATGATGGTAGCTTTATTCTTCCAATCACTTCCCCAATTTTTTTAAGAAATATTTGCCTCAATTTGTTGTAAGTAATTTGTCATCTGGGATCCAACTACAGTTCCTCTATTTCTAACTATAAATTTATTTAATTCTTATAGTGTATGATGGCTGCAGCAACATCAGCCAAATAGGTAGTTCAATAACATCAGTTAACACTAGATTCTAACAGGATGTTGTATGCAGTATCTCCAACACTCTTATAAATTTAGCATTCCTTTCTGTAATGTACAACCATTGTAATTAAACATTTATTTCATTGGATTTAAGTGAAAAGCAACATACTGTATAACAACAACACAAGGATTATGACAAACACTGACAATACAATTAAAGGAAACTGAAATCATGAGGTTAACATGAAGCTTACTAAACATCAAAGCAACTAAGAAAGCAAAGAGGTCAAATAACCCACAGAATACTACCTGGACCTGTACAATAAAAAACACTCTAAATAACAACACTTTCCATGGCTACTGTTATTAGTTAAGAGAAAACAAACCAAAATCCTGGGCCTGATGAGGTATGATCCACCAACCTTGTCTTTGGTGGACTTGCTATCAAGGCTTGGCAACAACGTGGCTGGTACACTGTCTCTGGAGGTAGAATATACAAGGCACAAATTATAATCATGGAAGAGTTACTTAGGGCATTTATGTAAGTGAAATTGAGAACATCTTCAGTCATGGACACGAAACAAAAATAACATGAATTTCAACACCTGAATGAGATGTGAAGCAAACGTAAACAGTTTAGATTACACAGTAAGTTGGAGAGAAAGTACCCTGTACCACACCTTTATTGCATTATATTTAGTAAATATCATAAGGAAAGTAAAATAAATATCACAACTAAAAGTAACATAAGAAAGTCTACATCACCAGTGCTGTTAATGTTTTTTATAGATACCTATCTGTGTAAAGGTTTATTCCCTTCAAGGTAAGGTCTACAGCTGTTCAAAACCGACCAATCTGCCAGAAAGTGTTGTGATGGCACCAAGTGTGAACTCCTTTAAGACCAGACTTGACCAACACTAGCAAAGGGTCAAGTACATTCCAGAGATACCAGTGCATAACAGACGTGACCAATGACCCAAGAGATTACAGGCCAAACAGAGACAAACACGATATATGAGAATGAGAAGCACCAAAAGAAAATCAAATCCTTCATTAATATTACTGTAGTATATATTTTTTTACCAATACAGGTGCTCCTCTACTTAAGAACATTCAACTTACAAACTTTCAGAGATACAAACATCATCACTGAGGGGGGTTACCTGCCAGAACAGGTGTTTAATGTGGATGAAACTGGATTATTTTGAAGAAGATTCCAGATAGAACAAACATTACCTAAGAGGAGAAGAGTGAGCCAGGTTTTAAGGCTGTATTAAAGGATATAGCTGTACTAAATATCCATAATCTTTTCATTTTTTTTTACAATATGTTTGGTATCTACAAGAGTAAAGTTGGAGCTACAAACAAGCCTCAGGAATGTAACTCGTTCGTAAGTAAAGGAGCACCTGTACTGTACTACAACATTCACTCTTTTCTTTTATTCATGTTGGATGGAGTCAAGGAGTTCAGTGGAGTACAGTACATGTACTTGCTTCACTAGCTGTACCTTGTTTCATGAAATACAAAATAACTTGACCAGATGTACCTCCTAACAACACCCTGTCCACATACTCCTACATATAGGTATACAGCCTCTCCTCCTGCACCTTATATATAATGATGATAACCATATAGCTTTTCAGAAATGTGCATTAACAACACGACAAATCCTTCCAGAGGTGGAGCTTCAGACTTTTGTGAGTTTATGAGAATTTCAAAAACAGTAAGGATGCCAAGTTGCGCAGTGACAATAAATATAAATCTGTGCTACGTACTTTCAGAACTATATAAGTTTACTGTGTTGTGAACTTACTAAACTCTATAGAGCTAAACTGGTAATGGGGAGACATCCATTCTCATAATGCACAGTGTCCAAAAAGGTTTCAAGGAATGAAGTCAAACAAAAGACAGCAACAACAGGAAGAGCAAACATGTGTGGAAATGGTTCAACGACAAAGATATTTTAAGTGAAAATCTGTTTTGACGAGTTATATGAAGAAGGTTGCTTATGACTCTTACTAGTCGTGTGTTGTGGATCAAAGGGTGCAGGAACCTCAAAGAAAATGTGGGAAGTACAGTAGACTAATGATACAGTGGTACAGGATAGAAGTAAGAAGCAAAAGAAGGTCTAAGTCAACACACACACACACACACACACACACACACACATATATTTATTTACCCAGTACATCCTATAAAATCCTATACGTACATCCTCTTAAATGGTCCCTGAGATCACTAAATATACAGTAAACTCCTAATACATTCCAACAATTCTCACTCTATTTCTATTTTTTAATGCTGTAGCTTTTGTAGACCAATGATACAGGTACTGTACTGTATATACTAAAAGAAAGGCAACTAGAATTGTAGACACACACAGCTCTTGACAACACCAAATTGGCTTAATGCTCTGACAATTGAACTTTGTCCCAGGCTAAATGGGTACAATTTTGCTTAAGAAATTCTAGGATATTACATAAACAAACAAAAGAGCCACTCAAAAGAATTTCTATCTTTGGTGTAGTTAATGACACATTAGACTGAGGTAAAGTTAGTATAAAATAAATAATACCAAGACCCTCGGAAAAACTCCCTTACTACAGCCCATAATTCTCTAAGTTACTGCTAATATTATTAAGTGCGGTACAGTGAGATCTCCATACAACAGACTCCTCTCCCCGTATAATCCATGAGATGGGGGTTTAACATTTAACGGACCCTCAATATAACAGACTTTTTCACTTCTATATGGTTCGTTAGATGAAGGTTTCAAATCTAACGCACCCTTGATATAATGGACTTTCCTCTCGATATAATCTGTTTACGGTAATAGAAGTTTCACTGTACAGGTATTAAAAAAAGTTTTAAAACAAAGTAAAACTGAAGATCAGAAATAAGGTCTTACAAACTATGAAACTAATTAAATGGCTTATTATTAAATAATTACACGAAGTAATATCTCCGTTAGCCGGAATCCCTCAAACCTGGAACTCTCCGATAGCCGGAACTGCCAGTACCCGAAAATTCCGGGGATAGGGGAGTTTTTTTCCAAGTATGAGATAAAAATCAGGCACATTTTCCGGAAATTCAGAGAAAATTATTTTCATACCCGGAAAATCTGGGGATGGGGGATATTCTTCTGGGTTTGAGAGAGGATGTAATGCGCAATTCCTGGAACTTCCGAGAAAATCTTTTCCGTTACCAGGAAATTCCGGAAAATTCCGGGGATGAGGGATTTTATATTCTTTCAGTGAAAACGAGCCCGGAAGGGCATAAAACAACGTCATTCACTAAGTGACTTGAAAGCAGAGGAAATTAGTCACTAAAGATCGACTGTCTTCCTTGCATGCTGAGAGTACCGGTAATCAGAAAACCCAGTGCGGAAGCCCGAAAAGTTTCGTGAACGAACATGAGAAGAGGGAGAGGGATGGTATTCATTATTTGCACGTGTTTTGCAATTAAATGACAGGTAGCGACGTGTCCTACTAATATTACATATTTAAGTAAATATTAGATGTTTTAATTGCCTGTATGTTGGCCTGGCGAGTTAATGCTAGGCATTTACATACCTAGGTATAAAGCTAGATGTCGCATTCTGGACTATATCACAGAAACTGGATTTTAGAAAAAAAACAGCTTTTCCGGCTTTGAGAGTCGTCTCATTACCCAGAAGTCTCTCATTCCCGAAAGTGCTCTGCACTAATTGTTCCGGCTAATGGAGATATCACAAATAAACTAAACACCTTAGTACCCTAGGAAGAAGCACAGCTAACACTAAATTGCGAACAGAAACAACGCCAGTCGTAACAAAGGTCGAAAATCTGAAGCCCCAACACTGACCAAGATTTATTTGAGCCAAAAACAATAAATAAATAAAAGCATAAATTAAAAAAATATATAAAACAAATACAGTACACAAACAGATTAGTGGAATAATAACAGATCTAATCTTAGTCTTTCTTTGTATCAAATAAATCCTTTAGAGAATAATGCTGATAGCAGCAGTATAATCCCATAAACGAAAGCAATATCATAACAGTAGTACCATAAATACAGGCACAGAAAATAAAAAAAGCCACAAATTAACTAAGGAATATAACAAGAAGAAAATCAATAATATAACCCCCACCACAGAAACATTTTTTGCTTAAATATCACAGATTTATGAAGCATTTTGAGAATCATCCAGATGGATAATGAATGAAATCAGTATAATAAGGCTTTCGTTAGTAGTAGATGGTCAGAGGCTGATATCACTGAAGGAGAATCTCAGAGCTCACTATGACATTCATAATTTATAACAGTGAAATTCTTGTCTAAAATGAATGACAATATTATGGCAGCTAGAAACAAATCATTTTCAACATGAACATAATTCAGTTGTACTTCATGAATAAATTAATCAAATGATGACTCCCAGCGTGAGCCCTGAATGTATGTTTGGCCAGTGATCCTCAGGTCCAAGAGGAAACAAGGCAACAGAGAGACATTAAAGGTACACAGACAGGATAGACAGATTTTTTCCACCTAAGTGCCAAAAGTTAGAGACCCGGAAAAACTGCTGGAGGAGAATATACCTTAGGATGAGGGTAGTTTTCTTGCCCTTACGTTTCCTCCTGGAGACAGAGGGGAAATTTATTATAGAATTATCGATCTCATGACTCTGTGATGGAAGAAAATTAAAGGTATTTTACCATGCATTAATGCTGATTTTTTTTCTATGAATATAATGGTAAGAACACGTGTATATTCAGGACCTGGAAGATTGTTATGGGTTTTGTGTCTTTCTTATTTCTCTCTCTTGATATATATGGTGATTAAAAAGTCCAGAACCACAGGAATATTCATTTTTGCAATTCTATTTTACTAATTGTTCAGACTGTGAGCCTCTGACAACCACACACATTTATCAATTCTTCAACTCGGTTACACTGAACGTTTCTTAACACCAATGCATCAACTTCATCACAATGATTTTTAATTCATTCTTTACAATTTCAATAGTGTGTCATCTTGTGTTACAGTATAAATTCCTGCAATCAGAATAAAAAGCTAAAAGCAATGTGTCAATGTTAAGAAATGTTCAACAAAACTTTTGTTCAACACATGTGTCCTTGCTAGTCGCTCACAGTTTGAGTAATTATTATTACAAAATAGAAAAATAAATATTCATAGGATTCAGGATTTTGGAATCATTCTCAGGCTCTTATTCTTCTTCCCTATATCCTTCAGACTCGTCTATCTCTCTATTACTACTATATTTCTCTTTAATCTCTGTCATATCCACAGCAAGGCAAGAGTAATAGCAATCTAGCATTCCTTCATCTAAATCCTTCCCATAACTTTACAAACTTTTCTTGTAATCACACCTTATCTGTTCTAACTCCCCTTTGTCACCTTTGTTCCTCGATAGCAAAAGTAATTTCATGAATACGAACTCCACCATATTCTAAGTACCCTCTCCTATAGTTGACACATCTTCATCCTTGTCACTATCATATACTGTACCAAAACAACTCTGCCTTGCATCCTTCTCCTCACTATGTCATCCAGTCAATAAGAAACACAATTACACTCTGTACACCACTAATTAATGACCCTGAACTTTTAATGTCTTTATTCTTGACTCTTTACCTCCTCTCTAATAATCTCATTCCTCCTCTGCCTGTGACCAAGACTCAAAGGTCCTCCTCATCTCTGCCTCTGCCTCATCCCCTAGTCAGAACCACATACACACCTGGTGGCTCGAGGCTCCACTGTGTACTGATGGAGGTCATTCACAACAGCTGTGGCCACTACAGGCTTATTGCCAAAGGCACGGTGGTCCACCACTCGCAGTGTCAACGGTGGCATATACAACTCCTCTTTAGGGAGTTCCTGCCAAGTAATTTACAATACAATTAAAACTTATATCAGTCAGTAAACTGTAGCTCTAACATCCCTGCCAACAAGAGCCTCACTGAGTACTCAAGGTTCTTTATTAATCTAAAATTTCTTTTGGGTGTTTGAACATGATATATGACTATAAATGACAGACATGGAGCTTACTTAGGTATCAGTTTACTGTATCTCTAATAATAAAATCATCATTGATAAAAAGTACTGTACAGTATTAATTTTATGAACTAAACAAAACTATGCACTATGGAGTAGCTGAATTTCTATTGTTGCACTTGTATGCTACTCACAACATCAAAGACAAGATGTGGTTTGTCAAAGTTGGGATTCAGGCGAAGGTTGGTCATGATGGGGGAGGTAACCCTCTCGCCGCCACACTCGAACTCAATAGATGGCCGGGTGACGGACTGAAGCTCAAATGTGGCCATGTTCCTCACACCCCAGCACAACACCTGGGAGGTAGAGGCAGTGAAGAATCAGTGGGCAGTTGACAATAAAATATACTAAAATAATTAAATGTTACACTGATCTCTGACTCTTCTGTGACCTTGTATTGACCCATATATATAACTACCACTAAATTTAATCCCATAATTCTCCAGATATTGATAAAATTAAATGTGTTGGAAAGAACAGGGGGAAAAAAGAGAAAGGGAAGAAAGAAGAAAAGACGAAGAAAGAACCTGTGGGGAATGCTGAATAATTCACCAGTAGAGAGAGAGGCTAGAGGAGGTTGCATGAGTCTCCCTACTAGATAATGATACACACAAGAAAGTACACAAAGAAAATATTCAATTAACAGATACAATACTGTAATAGGCTGCCATGTAAGAACAAAGGTTATGATTTAGTACACTGACCTCAATTCTAGTGCGCTGCAGGAGAGGCCGCACACCAAAGGGTACCATGTAGTGTTCACCACGAGTGGGAGGCAGCATGGGCAGCTCCTCGCCATCTTTCAGCATTAACTCAAAAGATGCTAAAAGTTCACCTGTAGGTCAAAAGAGAATTTTAGTTACCAGCAATGCACAGATGTCACTTTGATATTATATACAGCTATTACTATAATTAGACACATTAACATGTCTGAATATTCTTATGAATATAACTGGAGCAATTTTCTCCTTTCCCAAGTACAGTGATATCTCAGTTAGCCAGAACAATTGGTGCAGAGCACTTCCGGGAATGAGAGATTTCCTAGTGACGAGACGACTTTCTCAAAGCCGGAAAAAATCCCTCATCCCCGTAATTTTCTGGGTAACAGAAAAATGTTCTCGGAAGTTCCAGAAATTACCCATTATATTATCTCTCAAAACCTGGAAAAATATCCCCCATTCCCGGAATTTTCTGGGTACCTGTACTGGAAAATTTGTCCAGAAATTGCGCCTGATTTTCATCTCTCAAACCCGGAAAAAAATTCCCCCATCCCCGGAATTTTCTGGGTATTGGGAAAATTTTCTCAGAATTTTCTGGAAAATGTGCCCCTCGGAAAATCGTTCCCAAAGCCGGAATTTTCCGGAAAATTCCGGCTTTGTGAACGATTTTCAAAAAAAAATTTTATTCTGGCTATCGTAGAGTTCCGGGTTTGAAGGATTCTGGCTAACGAAGATATTACTGTACTGTACATCCATCTTATCTTGCCAGTTTTCAATATAGCTCAAATAATACATCATATAAAAATACCTCAACTCTCTTAATTTGTTTTTACTGTACTTCATTTTATCCTCTTTGCCACTTGTCAGCTAAACTGGCAATTGGATGGTTGATAAATTCATTTCCACACACTGTTGACAAGTACTGGGCAAGTACAGGGGTCTTGATTATAACTGAACATGTACCAGTGTTTGTCAAGTCTTGTCGTAAAGGAGCTCACACTTAGTGCTGACACAACTGGAGGTTATTACAAGAGTTCACAACTCTTATTCCTAGAAAGTTTGCTCTGACAATTTCTTTTACTTTTATCCTCTTCGCCACTGATCGGGCTTGTTGGCAGCTTGGAGCGTCCGGTCCGCGACTCTTTTCCTTTATATTCTTCACCAAAAGGTCGGCTCGCTAGCCGCCCGGGCGATCGGTCACGTCTCTGTCACGCACTGTTGGCAAATACTGGGCATGCACCGGCTCCTGGATGTACCTGAACCCGCTCCAGTGTTGGTCAAGTCTTCTCTTGAAAGAGCTCACACTCGGTGCCGTCACAACACTCTCTGGTAGATTGTTCCAAGAGTTTAAAACCCTCACTCCGAAAAAGTTTGCCCTCACGGTTTTCCGGACTTGCGGCTTCTTCAATCTTGAGCTGTGACCCCTTGTGGGGCGAGCGTCCGCCAGCTCCAAGTAAGGACACTCAACTGAGTAGTGCCCCCTGAGATGCTTATAAACCTCAACTAGGTCCCCCTTGCCCGTCTGTAGTATAAGCTAGGCAAGTTCAGGCGCTCCAATCTCGCAGGGTAGCTGAGATGCCGAAGTGCAGGCACCAGCTTGGTGGCCCTCCTTTGAACATTTTCAACCAACTGACAGTCCCTAGCATATCTCGGGGACCAGATGGGGTGACAGTACTCCAGATGGGGAAGCACTTCACTCCTGAAGATCGTCACGAGGGACGGACCGTCTAGATATCTGAACGACCTTCTTATAAGACCCAATAATTTATTTGCCTGATTTACCTTCTTCTCACAATGGCCCGAGAACTTCAGCTCATTGTCAACATACACACCTAGGTCCTTCTCACACACAGTCTCAACTAGTACATTTTCTTCATCCCGTTGGGACATATGGTACGCCTCCTTACCGTTGGTACGCCCCAGGTGCATCCTCTTACACTTCGTGACATTGAATCTCAGCAGCCATTCCTTCGACCATTCCTGGAGCCCACAGAGGTCCTTCTGCAGCTCTTCACAGTCCGCATGGTTCTTAATTTCCCGAAATAACTTGGCGTCATCGGCAAACATTTGTATGGAGGAGTGTACAACGTCAGGCATATCATTTATGAAACAAACAAACAACAGCGGGCCCAATACACTACCCTGCGGTACCCCACTTGTTACAGGTACAGATGACGATTTCGTGCCATTAATCACCACACATTGCTTGCGGTCATGTAGAAAATCTTCTATCCACGCTAGGACATTTCCCCGAATTCCGTACCCTTCCAGTTTGATTTTCAGCCTTTCGTGGGGTACACTGTCGAAAGCCTTGGCAAAATCTAGGTAAATATTATCGATATTACCACCCCGTTCTAGAATATGGGTCCAAATATCCAATACCTTGAGCAATTGTGTCAAGCAAGAGCGCCCCGGCATAAAACCGTGTTGGCAATCTTTTCCAAGGTTGTTTCGTAGTAGATGTTCCATCGCTGCATCTCTGATAATACTCTCAAGTACTTTACATATTATGCTGGTCAGGCTCACCGGTCTATAGTTGTTCGTGGAGTGCCTATCGCCCTTCTTGAAGATAGGACTCACATAAGCCACCTTCCATTCACTGGGGACCATTTGTTCATCCAGGCATTTACAAAACAGAATCTTCAGGGGCTCTGCAAACTCGTTGCACAGCTCCCTTAGCACTCTAGGATGCACCATGTCAGGTCCAGGACTCTTATGGACCTTTAGCCTGGACAGTTTATTTCTAATACCCTCTTCTGTGAACACAATGTGGGTCAGTGCTGTGTCGAACCGTCTGTCCTCAAATGCAGGAAGGTTAGTTGCATCCTCTCTTGTGAACACTGAGGAAAAGAAGCTGTTCAATGCCTCAGCTTTATCCTGGTCAGAATCTGCATAACTACCATCTTCAAGCCTCAGGTCTGATACTCCTACTCGCGTTTTCAATTTCGACTTTGCATAGCGGTAAAACGCCTTTGGGTTTGACTTGACCTCGCGTGCAACCAGCCTTTGGAACTCTTTTTCAGCCCTCCTACACTCTATCTTTGCTTGGTTTCTGGCTCTTGCATACATCCTCCTGTCTTGCTCATCGTTTGACCCAACCCACGTCTTGAATTTCTGGGTTTTCTTCTTAATTTTGTCGACCGCCGCATGGTTCATGTGTAGGGATCCCCTCGTATTCCTAGAAGCACTGGGTTTGGTCTTGAGTATATATTTATCGATCAAATGGGTCATTTTACTAGTTATGATATTCAGCGTAGTGTCTGCGTTCTTGTACCTTAATAAGTCAGGCCAGTTGATACCCCTCATCTCTTCCCTCATCCCTTTGTAATTTCCCTTGTAATATTTGCACCTTGGCCTGGCCTTATCTTGAACTAGGTAACAGTTAAATCTGAATGACAACACTGTATAGTGACTGGTGCCAACTGGGGCAAGGTGTTCCAGTTTGGCCACCATACCCTCCTCGTTTGTTATGATGAGGTCAAGTGGCTTGGGTGTTTGCTCCCCTCTGTAATGTGTCGGGTCTCTCACATGTTGGAACAGAAAATTATCTCTCAGAGTTTCTACAAAAAGAGTAGCAGGATTATTCAAGTCATTCAGGGTGGACTCGTTTCTCCAGTCGATGTCGCCATAGTTAAAGTCCCCCATGATAAGGAGGTGGCTGGGGTTGAGCATCGCCGCATTGTTTATTAAGGTTCTTAAGTTCCTTTGATTTAGTGGGCCACAGTTCGGGGATCTGTAGATACACCCGACGATAAGTAAGTCCCCTCCCTTTAATTTAATTTTACACCACTTGGACTCTTCAAAGACATCCTCTCCCTGTACCCTCGCCTGGCTGGCTCTAAGGTCTTGCCTAGCGTAGATAACCACCCCCCTCCTGCAGGATTCTTGAGTTAGGTTCGTAAATGAGTCATATCCAGCAATACTGAACTCACATTCCTCTGGGTCGATTCTCCTGTTCTTGTACAACAGTTCTACAACTCCTACAATATCTGGTTGGTGTACTCTTAGTAGTGTTTCAAACTCCTCCCTCTTATCAAGGAACGTGCCAGTATTAGTGTACATGACATTCAAGCCAGAATTTGTTCTCGGTAACGTCTCTGCTCTTGGTAATAAACCCGCTCCACCCACATTCTCAGAAGCTGCAGCATTTGCTAAGTACACTGTATTTTGCAGGGTGTGGTTAAAAATGTCATTGTTTACACGGCGCTCGTTCCCTCCTGTCCAGTAGGCTGAGCTGGTGCCGCCTCCCGGGTGGGGGGTTGAGTGGGTGGAGGGTGCACTGCTGCCCCCTGGCCCTGTGTCGGCACACTTGTTTCCACTACCCTCCCCTAATTATAACCATGTGCACCTGTCCCGTTCCTTCTCGACTCCACTCCCTCCTCTGCTTCAAGTCCAGCAGGGCTTCTTGTGCTGTTCTCTGCACTGATGACACACTCTTCTGATTGATATACGATGAATGTGAACTGTCGGCAGTTTTGTAGATCTCAGTAATAAAGAAGATTTGTAGTACTCTGAGTGAGGTAGTCACACCACACCTTGAAAAGTCTTACAAGAGATGGACCACCTAAGTGTGTGTAGGATCACTGTAATACTAATAGAGTATTAGTTTATCAGCAATATTCATCTTCTTCTCACTTATCTGAAAACTTCTTCCTTTGTCAAAATAAAAACTCAAGTCTTTCTCACATGTAGCCTCAGTTAAGAATATGCCAGGACACTTTAAAAATAATTAACCATATAGAGTATTGAGATGGTACATTTTATCCCCAGAATAGCCACTGCTGCTTAATAAAATATCCATAGCAATATAAAGAACTGCCACAACAAATAAGATGGATTCAGAATCCTACCCTGCTTGTCTTCTCCCCGGCAGAGGATACCACTGAAGAGCTTGAGGCTGGTAGCCCTCTGATGCCTCAACAACTGATGGAGAACAGAACACACGACCCAGGAATTCTGGGGCACCCTGGAAAAAAGAGGATAGATGTGAAGCCTTTAAGTCCAGGAAAAACCTAAAATAGACAATAATACTCCACTGAGCACATGAAACTGCTTTAAATGCAAGAGACCAGCCTTGAATTTATCTTAAACCATCAAGACATTTTTTCATCTTGTCAAACAAATATGAATGTGTATTTTTTCTACTTTAACTTAGTAGGAAGGTAATTTTGGTAGTCTAACAAAACAATCTAATATTTACTCCATGAAAGACCAAGATGTGCATAAGTTGCACTGTTTTCTCTCAATCTAAAATGCTTTTCAACTTATGCTGTTCCTTGATATCAACCTTTTAATTTTTTCTTTCTTAAGTCACACATCTTTGGACTCATCCTGAAGCCCAAGACACCACCCAATCGCTCTCTCTTAGTTCAGTGTAACCCTCTCAAGGTCAACCTGTATCCCTCTCACAAATTATTGTATACCCTTCTTCTAAGTCAACCAGTATCCTCTCACTGCAGATAGTGGTTCTCTTAAGAATGCTCTGTTGACATATGACTCAATCATGTGTACCTTGTGATAACTTACCCTGGCATCCCAGTCTAACACCTCGATGACAATGTCTGGGGCCTGAGTTCGTGTTGTTGCAAGAGGACCTGTTAATTCTATGTCATCAAAGATCAATGTCTGGTCCCAGGCTGGGCAGAGGGTGGCTGACTGTCGACGTGTCTGCTGTGTCCCATTGCAGAAGCTTACTACTGCATACGGGTCTGTAGGGAAAAGAAAGTAAGGGACTTGGGTGAGAAAGTGAGAAGAAAACTGAGGAGATTTTATGAGACTAAAACATTAAGGAACCTCTACCATATAATTCACATGAAAAAAATATTGGGAGATTTAGATGAAACATGTTCTTACATTGTAATATTGGGAATGACATTACATATTATTATATTCACACTTAACAGTTATTTTTTAACAGTATGTACTCTATAGGCCACCTGAACCCACCTGAGAGCCCAGTCTTATCCCCAGCTGGCAGGTCCCTCGCCTGGTAGATGTGAGCCCGTAGTTGATACTTGTGACGCTCAGCACTGACTGCATACATCCTTGGGCAGGTCAGCTGGGTGATCTCCTCGTTCCCTATACGATATAGAACCCACCAGGTGTACAGGATGTATACATATATATACTGTAGTTCTTTTACATTGTATAAATAATGAAAAAATATTAAAAAGCACTTTATAAATACATAAATAAAACTAAAAATTTAACTGAATACATAAGAGAAATGAAAGTTCTGTACAGTAGTATATAAAATCCATCATTTTACCTTTCATTATTTAATGATAAAAATCAAGATAAAGAACCCAAATAAAATAGAGTGAATATAAAAGAGAACTAACTTAACAGAAATGGCTGATATTTAAACTGACAAGTAAATAATTCAAATCTCAATCTGTAGATAATTAACTCACCCTTTCCAGCCTTGATACAAAGCCTGGGGGTGGGTGGCAGACCAGGTTGAGAAGGCACCAGGCGTCTTCTCCACCGCCTCCGCCGCACCATGTCTATCTTCCCCAAGGCATGGAACTGTAGCCGGAACAGGGGTGCATACTCCCACCCGTCTACTGGAAGAGTCTCCACCTGTAGGGGAGGAGGGCTGAGTATTCTTTATAGTGGAAACATATTTTTTCAGATTTCGTTTTATTTTTCTACTTACCTCTTACCTCTTTTTTCACCCATATGCTACTACCTCTCACTCAGTGGGGTTTTTTCCTATTACTCTCCCAAATATTATATCGCCATTCCTCTTTACATCTTTCATTTTTCCCATCTGCCTCCCCATTCCTTCCTTCTTTCCTCTCTCTTTTACTTTAGTTCCAGCATGTACACCAGATGACTCTAGTACCTTAAATATACCTCCTCTACCCACTGCACTAGTAAACATCCTTACCATATACCTCGTCCTCTCTCTCTCTCTCTCCATCACTCTTACCTTCTCCACCTTTTCCACCAGATGGCGCTCTCGGATCCATCTCCTGCGTCTGCTCACGTGGTAGATCTTCTCCTGAGGTGACCACCCCATCAGCCTCGCCTCCACTGTGTACTCCCAGCCCTCACCGTCCACTGCTCGCTGAAGGTCGTACTGTTTACAAACAGGAAGCAAAGATAAATCTCACTTGAGTTGGTGCAACTTACTCTCAACAAACTTTTTACAATAATCTCTAAATGTTTCTTAAAAAACTCATACTTCCCCCATCCATATTTTAAGGTATATCTCACTACAGTACATCTAGCTTTAAATACTTTACTTCTTTGCTTTTTCTGACATTCAAATATTTTTCATAGATAATGTAAACATTTTCCACCACTAAGTTCTCTTATGTTAATTTAAAGATAAATGTCACTTTTGTATTACAAAGTTCTATGTAAATTGGTTAAGCAGGTGAAATGAGCCTTGTTGGAATAATTCTATCTTTTCATTCCTTTACTTCTTTCAGTTTGCAGTATATTCCTTAATGGATCAGCAAATCTAAAAAGCTATAATACAGTACAGTATAGGTATACAGTGCTGTAATTTTCTAATCAGCTGAAGATAATTTAGCTGCTATCACAGATTACTCGTATGAGTAATTTGTTAACTATAAATGTAATGAAAATTCAGTTTTTATGTACAGAATAGTAGCAATTATTAATACAGTAACAATTAAATACATGTTGGCAACCAAAATGACCAAAAATTTATAATATCATGGGATAACATTAAAAACTAGATATATTTTGTCTCAATATCATTGAGAATCACAATTTAGATGTACTGTACTTTTCTTCTTAAATTTTATGTCACCTCAACCTCCATTTACTCCACTCCAACAATGTTTTTCTTACACATAGATGACACTATTGTAACAATACTCTCCTCTCCAGTTGTTCTACAGAGGCATTCCGCTTTGTTGTACTAAGCTTTTAGAGGCACTCACCGTCCACACATCCCGCCAAGCCCAGCCACTGGCAAGTGTAATCTCATCACGCTTGGGGGATGGATCACCCCTTATATCGGTCCAGGTGTTAGGGACAGGGATCCAGGTGCCGCCAGGGACCCGAGATCTGCTGCTCAAACACCTCCTCCGTGAACAACTGTCTTCCCTCATCAGCGGTGAACTTCAAACTGAAGGATATCATGAAGCTTTAAACTGATGAACAGATGACAAGTTTTTCAGTACTCAGAGATGTTCTATGTGACAAATAAATACTGAACCATACGCTACATGTGGAATTAATCAATCACCTATTGTTACTTCAGATGTTTCCTTGGAGTACAGTACATACAGGTATATGCATGAACAAAAATGTGTGTTATACCTTTTTATATGAATTTCTTACACAACTTTTTACAAGTCAGTTATATGTGTTTAAACATTATAAGTCTATGGTTACCATGAAGTAGCTGTCACCAAAGTTTTATATCAAAGTGTTAATATATGACATAGTCATTTGTGTATCAGTCCCCTACTTGTTAAACTGTAAACCAACCTGTATAGTATTGTTTCTACTTCGTTTATCTATATCAATGGGTAAGACTCACCTGATCAGGTGATTAGCTATTGGAATATTTTCCTCTAGCACAAGGTCACATGAAAATCTTGTGTCATTGATACAAAGTGTTCACCTCAGAGGGACTCTCCACTACCCTGGGTTCAGGATCAATAAACCAATCTCCCTGAAAATTCCAGCCCTCAGGAGCAGAGAAAGTCTCCCGGGAAAGGCTCAGTCGACCGTCAGCATCAGAGAATTTGGCAGTCATCAGCAGTCCGCTGTCAGTCCACTTACCAGTACCAGGTACAGACATCACCTGGAAAACAAAGTTGATAGTAATTCTTTTAATGTCTTTCATTACCTAACCTAACCTATTACTTGCCAACTGTAATTAATAGAGAAATAACCGACCAACTAGTAAGCTGACAAGATGCCAAGAAGATGAAGTAGAGTAAATTCTGGTAGGTCACATCCACCCTTACCTGGTTTTCATAGGACTCAGCATAGACAGAAAGTTGAACATCTTCGTGAGCATCCCACCAGGCACGCGTGTCCTCCTCACGTCCCAGCCACACAGATGCACGCACCACTCCACCAATACCCCATTGGTTATTTTCATCTGAGGACAACCACAACTTAAAATTTAACATAAATAACATAAACATACAGAGCTTTATATGGATGAGTGCTATTACTATAAGCAGTACAGTACTGTTTATTGTCATAGCATAGAAATGCATAATAATTTCAAACAATGTAACTAATTAGTTTAAGACATATAGTACCGGGACTTTTTGTTTTACATAATCACACACGATCAAAATTAGATGAGGTCAGGTTAGGTTCAGCTGAATTCTTTTAAGTTACATAATTCGGTTAGTACTGATGCTATTCATTTATAAGTTTTATTATGATTCTCTACAAGATTTTTCCAATATACAGAAGTTAAAGTACTTGAAAAATTATAAATAACACATCAAAGTACTGTACTGTACTGAATTTTAGCTTGCACCACAAGCTTATTGTAATGGAGATTAAACATGTTACTTGAGGGTAATATTACACACACGAATACTGTGGATGAATATATTTAATGTGGGTAACTAAATTCCTACTACTGTATTACGGTCCTCTATCTTACTTGAGGGCTTAGATCACTCATTAAGAAAGGCTTGTAGTAAGGGTTTCACATTTGTATGGACTTCTAACACTGATATATCAAACAGTTTAAGATCCTAGAATAGTTAATTGTACAGAAGAGTCTAAGCTCATTCATTATACATTGTTATTACACTGAAATAAAACACCTTCATAGTTTTACTTGGGATTATTTATACCTCCAGATAATTCAATACACAGCATATATATACAGTGATGAAGAAGCATTCAGTAAAAATGCTGAGGTTGCTCTATCTAGTACAGGAGTATTATTCTTTCAGTAGGAAATGAAAACTAACAAGCTATGGGTACATAAACAAAGGTTATATACATATACCTGTATACAGTACAGTATATATATTATTTGTTAATAAGTAACTTAATCTCCTACAACACAAGAGATAGTTCTAGCTATGGCTAAGGCAAGGTAAGCAATACACTGACCTTAAACAAACCCAAAAAATTCTGATAAACAAAATAAGTGATAAATATGATGATACTGACTCACCTGCATGCTTCAATGTGTAGGTGTGGAACTTGCCAGCCAGTGCACCATGAGAGGAAGGTTCATGGGAGAACAGGATGGAGTGGGCAGGAATTGCATATATGACAGACGTCTGGTGCCACTCATTAACCACAGGAAGACATCAGGAACACTGCTCTGGGGCTAAACCAAGACCATAGTAAGGAAATTACTGTACAGAACATTAACTGTAAACTTCAACAATAAAATGTTGGTGTTTGTTTTGTTGTTTTAAGAAAATTTTAAATAAGAATCACTAATGTTGGAAAGTATTAAATTATGGATGCCAAGCCATCAGCAGCTACTAACCTCTTGGGCCAAGGCCTCCAGAGTGTCCAAGGCAGATTCTAGTTCCACAACAACCTGCTGAGGGTTTGCATTTTCCACTGATTTCATGTTCTCTGCCAGCCGGTTCAGCTCCATACGACGGCCCTCAGGTGACGGTCTAGAGATGTCTCAACATGACGGACTGGATTCACTTCAGGCAGCTCCATGCTATGGGCAATACAGGGGTACTGTATACAGAGTGAAATAGTATAAAATGATTCTAAAAGACACACACATATATATATATATATATATATATATATATATATATATATATATATATATATATATATATATATATATATATATATATATATATATATATATATATATATATATATATATATATATATATATATATATATATATATATATATATATATATATATATATATATATATATATATATATATATATATATATATATATATATATATATATATATATATATATATATTCAGAGACAATTTGGAAATTAAGAGGACATGAAAAAATTAAGTGAAACATATGGATCAACATAGCGATGAGGTATCCTTGAAGACATTTCACATTTAACCGTGGCATTAAAGAAAAACTGTACTGATTATAACAATGAGACATGGCAGAAAATTGTAAAAGGATGAAAGATAGAAGGACTGAGATATATAATAAGTGATACGGTACTGAAAACAGCGGCACATGATGCCTAACTTACCTGCAGGCAACCACCAATTTTGACAAGGCATCTTGCACAGTATCTTGTACCTCCTTGTCTTCCTCCTGATTTTGACGACATCCTCGCAGCAGAGACTGTAACTTCTGAAGGTCCTTCTTCAAGGTCTGCAGAACAAGGGTCAATGATGTGAGATTTTCTACAAAAGATCAATATAGGAAATAAGAAAGCAAGGTGTAAGAGGAGATACTGTACTGTAATATGCAATTTACTTATGTCCATGCAGCTCTCAGAGGTATAAAGATCCTGAGGCACTTGATGTTCCAACTATCCCTGAACCTCTCAAATTCATCATTCACAATTCAATATTTTGGGATGATTTGATACTTTAACTTTACATGTACTTTTACAGTATTAATAATTTAATACAATAAAGAATTCATAAAATAACTGTTCAGAATTACTGTTATACCACATATGCATTACACAAACTATTTCATACACCTGTACATGAAGGGTGGTACTGAATTGGGTGTCTCGCAGTCAGAAAAATTACACAGTTTGCTGCCCAGGCAATGGAGAGTGAAGGAATTGTACCCTTTTATTTTCAAGTAAGTTTTTTGTTTTCTGAATGATGAACTAAATTATTTGCTTTTTCAAAAATAAGAATATAGTTGGTTCGAGTACAGAATAGAATGTGTATATATAGAGTGGAGTATGAAGATTTAATGGCAGAAAGTTGATAAGGGCAGTACAGTAGTGACCAATACAACATGGAATCTGGTCTCATACTGGATACAATGAAGCTTGGATGTCCAATGTGTCCAAGAAATATTTTAACAATTTCAAAATAAACATTAGTCCTATTTTGTGAGGCAAGTTGTAAAAAATCCAAATAGTGAGGTACCCTGTAATTTCAAATTTCGCATTTGGATAGTTGGATATTCTGCGATAATTTGAATGAACCAGAGCCATGAGAGTATCAAATGAGTGTACAGTACGGTACTTCACAGCCCATGGACATGTAATGAACAGAAAAAGTATTTCACTCTCAAAAAGAATTTTTCAAACCTTCCTTAAAGTAATTACCATAATGATAGATGTAATGTGGTTGACACAGTGGAGGCGATGGGTCACATCCTCGAAGTCACAGTGGACTGTCACGAAAGGCTCAACACCTGACCATGGCAGGAAATAGTACCTGTTAGGAATGAGACAAACTTACTAAGAGTAATACTGAGAGCCTTCAGCACTATCTCAAACATTACTGTAGAGCTTAAAACAATATCAACTGTATCATTATTACAGGAAACTTTTGTTACTGTACAGGCTGATGCAGATCTCAAAGAATCTCTGAATTTACCATCATATAGAGGTAAGAAAGACTTCACACAATAACTGACATAATACTGAGTGTAGAGTATTTTACACTACACGTATAAGGAGGATCATGCAACAATTATAGGCACGTGTAAATTAGCAATATACTCTACTGTACTACTGTACATCACATATAGATCATACAGCCTCCTTAAAATATGGAACATCATTACACATTCAGCAATATCTGGTGTCACATCATATGGAGACAAATCTGACGTGTTCCTTCATTAGCAACAACTAATTCATCAATATACATGAAAGGTAAGTCTATCTGGGAGAATATATGGCAAGTAAAAAAACAAGACACGTAAAAAGAGTGTCCAGGAACACTCACTTGCAGCCATCAAAGACCGGGTTGGATGGGTGTGTGGAGGAGGGTGAAGGAAGCATCGAACTCTCTAGCTTGTTGCCAAAGTTACCCATAGAGACCTCCAACTCTAGTGGTTTCCCAGCAGCTTCCAAAAGCCAGACATGGCTAAGCTGGCACTTGAGAATAAACTTACGGGTGCCACGATACCTCTGAGGAGACAAACACAGAGAGTGTTATGGAGTTACAAAGTGTTTGGTCTGAAAAAAAGGTTCATGACTACTCTGTATATCTATAAGAAGCTTTAAACAATGAGCTGTAGATGTGAGTGGGCCGGTGTGTATTTCATCTCGGCACATTATAATATTCATATCATTACCCTGATCGTCTTGCATAACTCTATATTCACCCTGACCCTCCCTGAATACACAACACTCACCTGACCTCTGACCCTGACCTCCTGATTGCACAACACTCACCCTGACCCTCCCTGATTACACAACACTCACGACCCCTGATTACACAACACTATCCTGCCTCCTGATTAACACTACCTGACCTCCTGATTACACAACACCCCCCTGACCTCCCTAATACACAACCACCTGACCTCCCGATGCACAACACTCATCCTGACCTCCCTGATTACACAACACTATCCTGACCCTCCCTGAATACACAACACTCACCCTGACCCTCCCTGATTGCACAACACTCACCCTGACCCTCCCTGATTACACAACACTCACCCTGACTATCCCTGATGTCTCTGTAAATGTTTTAATCCCAGTGACCTTCACCAACCAAACATGTGACCCCACTCATACAAAACTCCTTACCATCACTCTCCTGAATTCATCATTGTCAATAGCTGTGGTCGGGGAGGGTGGGTATGATCCGACCTGTGTGTGCAGAGCCATAAGAACTCTCCCTCGGTAGGCACATCCCTCCTCGTTGCCTTTGTTCATCTCCTCCGTACCCCCACTATCCAGGAGCTCCCACTCACGTCTTGCCCCGTACACACTCACCCACGTTGGACCAAAGGTTGGGAGGTAACCTGGGGATTATACAAGAGACGTATTGCACTAAAGAAGGACACGAATGGTCATATTAGGGTTCTCCACTCCAACCATTTTAAGTATAATTTTATCAATGTTCCCAGATTTTGCATCTCTCTGGGGAGCACATATTCTTTATACGTGCATTCTAAATCTATTTTGAGTTTATGGCATTATTCTCAAGATCTCTGGATTCTTGCTTAATGCCCAGTTCTTTCTTTTGCTCAAACAGTATTTGTTGGTTCTCCCTGACACACTGCCCACAAGCAAGGTAGGCAATGTAGTGAGGCCTGTGTGTGACAATAATCCAACAAGAACACCCAAAAATATTTAAGTGTGTCTATCCATTGTAGTTCTATGGCAAGAACTGATTATCTATAGTACATAAGCAATACAAGGCAACAAGAGTACACAAAGTATACCAGGATAAATATAGAGGAGATCTATAGAACTATACATAATAATAATCAGTTTTGTTTACTTGTTCAGGGCAATATATGAAAACAGAGAGAAAGATCGAGAAACTTTGGAAGAGAAAATTAATAAGGCTACAAAGAAAGACAGACGGAGAGACAGAATCAAAGGCACTGACCATCTTCACCAGGAGCTGAAATAGCTGACACAGGGATGGTAGCTGTTCCAATGGTGTCATCATTACCCACACGGTCCCTGTAATAGGTCAACAATATACATCCTGGAATCATAAAGACATTGATTTCCGTAGAGTCATGAATTCCTGACCTTGCTTCTGACTCCTAGTGTCTGTTTGAACCAAATACTGCAGTGTATAGTTCAATGAAACTACTATTTCTGTAAAAAAAATATATATATATTGATTACAAGTAGGCGGATAATCTATGATTACCTCAGAGAGAAGCGTTCCTGCCTTGCTATCAATGTAACTTTAGCGAAAAATAGAATGATCTGTGATGGTTATGAGTCCACTTCAACAGGTGATGATGATGAGTATTCCTGTACAGGCATTTATATTCCTAATGCTGTCCCTTTATCACTGTGCTTAAACAATATTGTTGCATACATAGCTGGTTTTGTACTACAGGTACTGTATTTAGATGAAGTAAATTTCTGCACTGTAAAGTTTGCAGCACAGTGCTGTATTAATAGCTTCTACTGAAAGACTGACGCATTCATTGATAAAATTAAAATCAAGGCGTTGCCTATTTTTCCATCCGAGGATGTGATTAACATATGTGGTGATCGTAATTATCCTTTACACTCCTATCAATGATGAATTTGCATGAGAATCAGGAGTTTAATCTATAAACTTTCACTTGTTTATACTTGGTCTTAGGTAAGTGAATTCTTTATCATAGTTGTACACAGTGGCAGACTGGCCCACCAGGATACCGGGAAATTTCCCGGTGGACCCCAAAGTGATGGTCCATCACTTTGGAAATAACGGAAAAAAGAATAAAAGATATACGAGGTTAATGAGATATTAACTCAATCAGCCCTAATGCGACTTTTATTTGATTCCTTTGACTACGTTTTGGGATTAAGTGGGCCCTTTTGGACCCTTTAGAGTGGGCCCTTTTACAAGTTTTCCCGGTAGAAATTTTTGACCCAGTCCGCCACTGGTTGTACAACATCACATCAGTCTTTGGCCACAATTAATTTTACTTAATATTTTACATTGGGTTAAGAATATGCTTACTTTACCCTACCGTAGATATCAATATAAGTATTACATAGCTTCTGTAAACATAAATTAAGGTTAAGCTGTTACTAATACCAGACAAATGACTGTCACCTTGAGTAATTGACAACCTAATACACTACTGTACAGGTACAGTATTGGAGTAAACTACAGGTATACAGTGCAAGCTTCTTAGAATAGAAAGATACAAAGAACCAACATACCAGTCCTTCATTGTGATCTTGATAACATTGCACATGGAGGGGAAGAGGAAGCCCATGTGGAGGTTTTGGCGAAACTCTGGATTCTCGTTGGTGTAAAGTATCTTAGTCTGGACCTCTCGACCGGCATAGCTAGCCATTAGGTAGGGATCCACCAGTTCTTTGGAGGCTTTTCCCACCCCTAGCATCTCCTTCAAGGTCTGCATTGTCCCAGCATCCACTGAGGGGAAAAGGAATACATTAAACAAACTTTTACTAGACCTTTTATGTCAACATACAATTATATTTTAATGTTCACTTATTCATTCATTTTATAAAATATATAATTTACTAGATCTAATATACTGTACCTAACATCTAACCCGATATAACCAAAAGATGATTTAAATATGCCAGCAAAGTCATCATTTATATTGATTATATCTGCAAAAAAGGTTTATGAGCAATTTAATCCTCAAAACTGTCCATATTCTATGCTGAAATACTAAAAGGCTTACTCCTCGGGAGGTTCTGGGCACAGTAGATAGAGAGTACGAAGGTGGCAGGCTGAAGGTGGACCCCAGCTGACCACAGTAAGTTGGCCTCCACATCATCCAGTTCACTCTGACGTGCTGTTAAGTCTGGACACACATCCCCAGGTCCTAGTACAGCCACACTCACCTTCAAGTACCCTGTGGATAATAAAATAAAAGTTTAGTGAAAGGTTCATGCATTTTGTTTTACCTTTGCCATCTGTCTCCTGTTATGGCATACAGTACAGTACAGTACATGGAATAATGAGCCCATTCTAAAGAGTATCCTACAGGTATACTCACAGTACATTAACACAACCTTGCCGCAATGCCAGTTGGTCAATGGTGTCTAACATTTCTGAGGTAGCCTGCCTGGAGGTTTAAAAATTTTCAATGAAAATGACCATTGTTGACCTATTTAGCAGTCCCATCTTCAAAAAATGTGCTACAGGAAGGCTAACGAATTACAACTACAGAAACAACATTTTATTTTTTATTTTTTTTTGGGTGGGGGGGGGAGCACTAAGAAACATTAAAACACAATACTTGTTTATCTAAATCAACTACAGTATGACTCAGACCAGACTGAACAATACTGTACTGTCTAGCTCATAAGAACCAGGCCAAGTTGCCACCTATGGATACAGAAAAAGAAATTGTTCTTAATGAAATCTATAATATTATTCTTAGGGAAATATTGTAGTATGTGACTTTTATTTTTATGAAGAAATCTTGTAACCTGTACTAAACCTTTGAAAAATACTGTACAGTGTATATTTTTGGTGTAAGTGCTGTACTGGGTGGTCACCTAATAAGGTTGGCATAAACAATACAGTACAGTGTACTTCAAGATTTAAATAAATACTGTACTGCCAATCTGGTCTGTCTTTACAGAAATGTACAGTAGTATTAACATTTTTTAAACATTTATACTGTACTAAGATTTCAATAAATGCTACAGTAGGTTAAGGTGCCGGAATGGTGTACCTTGTACAGGTACAGTAGGTTAAGGTGCTTACATGGTGTACCTTGTACAGTGGGTTAAGGTGCTTACAGGGCGTACCTTGTACAGTGGGTCAAGGTGCTGGCATGGTCTACTTTGTATAATGGGCGAGGAGTAAACATAACATACCTTGTACCGTGGGTGTAGGTTCGTCAGGGTTGGCCAGCACCAGCCAGCGGTTAACTATGGCATGTTCGGCCTGGTCATACACCATCCCAACCTCACACTGAAGGACACAGGGTAAAGTACAGTATTATCTAGTTACCAAAAGCAACATAGAGTAAATTATAATCATTTATAATTCTTATGGGCTACTGCATGTAACTGTTACCTATAAATTTACTGTATTTGTATAAATGAAAGTGGGTCCCATACACATGACTGCCCATTAGTTACAGCACACTTAAACTAATTGGGATAGGGATTACATAAGGCCCACATGTTCAAATTTACACATAAAAGCTGACATATTATGTGGGTGTGGAAATTATTAAGTCTATTGCCACGTTGAATTCGTGATTTGTGATTAATGCATTTTTGTAACTAACCATGGGGATGGGGAGCATTATGGCACCTTCGAATGCGCTGATGGTGGGCTTCTATAATACTGTACAGTTCCCGTGGTTTTAGCTATAAACATAGGCCAACTGGACTGGAAGGCAGAGCTACCGACACCACCTTGTCAAGTACAAGTACAGTACTCAAGAAATGACATCTCAGTTGTTTTTATTACGTTAACATTCAAGTTTATATCAACGTAACTACGACTCAGCATGGGCAGAGCCTCAATAGTACTTTATAAAGGACTTGTAAATCCTTTTTGTGAAAATTCAACCAAGTATCTGACAGTTCTGTTGAGAAAGGTTGATTACACATGAATGGTATTGAGGGGAGGTAAGACTCCTGGAACAAAACTTCATTTCATTTTATCTAACGTCATTAATGTTTTTGTCAGTGGGGCCCACAAGTTCACATTTAGAGTGATCAGCTGATGGTGTACTGTATTACATGATTCATTTTTTTATTTACACAGATGAGATGAGTCGTGTGTTGCCATCTTGACTGTGGTTAGAATGGGACGTTGGTGGATTACAAGGAACCTAGCTGTTAATTACCATTTGGTCCGTTTAAATTACCTTGAAGGCACCGATGATGGTGCTGCCACGGATACCACTGGAGTTGCACACCTAGAAAGATAACAGCACTGTTATATAATGCCTGCAACAATAACAACTACAACTTACCTTATTATTCATTTATTATAACGTAATTATAATGCAAACCTCATGTTGCATATTAATCTAAGCATGGCCAAAAGGTCAGATTCCTGGCCCCTATATTGATGAACTGGCCAGGCTAGAGCTCATACTGTACAGAACACACACACTTCTATGCGCCCTTAGGAAGTCTCCAAATATAGTTTTCCCTATAGATAACTGTGCACTGTACATATAGCTTGCAACGATTAACATAATCACAGCTGTGTCAGAAATCCCAGCCACTTAAAATTATCTTACCTAGACAGACACACAGAACATTACTTTTCCTACAAAGGGTAAGAACCAATAATAACATTTAATAACTGACAGGAACATGAACAATGGCAATGGTTAGATATTCTGTTGTAGCAAACCTTAAATTGAATAAAATCCTCCATGAGTTCAGATGGAAGAGTTTCAACTTGGAAGAAGAAGATCTCGTCGAACCAGGGAGTGGAGGTACCCTTGTGAACCCGTGTCTGACGCGTCTCACCTACCACCAGGACCTGACACACGGGCTTCATGTTACTCCCCAGCAGCTGACGACCCTCCACCACCCGCACCCGTACCTGCAGAACACAATACACTTACAGTACTTATAAAGATAGGTGAAAAGGTGACATAACTTTTTTCTATGAAGCCCTGAACACATTGATGAGTTTTAATCTTACAAACTGCTCATGCATGATATAAAAGCTGTGAAGAAATACACGTCCTTACCACAAGTTGACATCACAGCGGTTAGGAAAAATTTACAATGTGCGTGAAGTGAAGTGGCGTGTGTGAAACAGTGGGGCGAGATTGGCAGTACGAGGTAAACAACACTGATTTGTAGGCAGTATGAGGTACAGGACACTTGTTTTATTATGTTATGACTATTTACAATTGACCATTTACAGCCCCCAGCAACTGATCACGAATCTACTGATGGTCAAAACCCTTACAACACTTGCACTTGGGGATTTTGAGGTAGAAACACCTGGTGAAGCACGTGAAGTCCTGGGAAAATCAAGTCCTTTAGCATTCTCTACATCACAAAAGCTGAAAAGCTACCGAGAATGGAGAGTGAGAAGCTCGTTGTTCGTACGTGTGACGGTGAGATCTAGTGAAAAATAAATGCCTACTTGACAACATAATCTAGTCAGGCTCGCGTCAAAGACTATATACGAAAGATAGGAAAGTGGACCGAAATACTGTGCTCATTAGGTACAGAGTTAGGACGCTTGACACACCGAGGATAGTCAATTAGTCATGCAAGTGAATTGGAACCAAGGTGAAACTTTCTCACCCACCTGGAACTTCCTCACTCATTTAAAACTTTCTTACCTGAAACTTCGTCTTGGCATTGGAGAGCATATCCCTGTTCCTCTGTTGAGGCATCTTGGGCATTGTGACACCCTCTACCCCAACGTCTGGCATGGGGCTAATGCCTGGGTGAAGAAAATTATCAATGAAATGTGAGTGTTGGGACGTAGTTAAGAGGTGAAAGATAGTTAGTTGGGAGGTAATTAAGTGTTCAGAAATGAGAGAGGATTTGTATGGCTAGTGAGAGATGAGGGAGAGTTTGTATGGCTAGTGAGAGATGAGGGAGCGTTTGTATGGCTAGTGAGAGATGAGGGAGCGTTTGTATGGCTAGTGAGAGATGAGGAGAGTTTGTATGGCTAGTGAGAGACGAGGGAGAGTTTTATGGCTAGTGAGAGACGAGGGAGAGCTGAGGAGTATGGCTAGTGAGAGATGAGGGAGAGTTTGTATGGCTAGTGAGAGATGAGGGAGAGTATGGCTAGTGAGAGATATGGCTAGTGAGAGATGAGGGAGAGTTTGTATGGCTAGTGAGAGATGAGGAGAGTATGGCTAGTGAGATGAGGGAGAGTTTGTATGGCTAGTGAGAGATGAGGGAGAGTTTGTATGGCTAGTGAGAGATGAGGGAGCGTTTGTATGGCTAGTGAGAGATGAGGGAGAGTTTGTATATGGCTAGTGAGAGATGAGGGAGAGTTTGTAGGGCTAGTGAGAGATGAGGGAGAGTTTGTATGGCTAGTGAGAGATGAGGGAGAGTTTGTATGGCTAGTGAGAGACGAGGGAGAGTTTGTATGGCTAGTGAGAGATGAGGAGAGTTTGTATGGCTAGTGAGAGAGTGAGAGAGGGAGAGTTTGTATGGCTAGTATGGCTAGTGAGAGATGAGGGAGCGTTTGTATGGCTAGTGAGAGACGAGGGAGAGTTTGTATGGCTAGTGAGAGATGAGGGAGCGTTTGTATGGCTAGTGAGAGATGAGGGAGCGTTTGTATGGCTAGTGAGAGATGAGGGAGCGTTTGTATGGCTAGTGAGAGACGAGGGAGAATAACAAAAGCCAAGCAACTATATAATAAGCAACAAATTCCGTACCAAAAGGCAAAAAAAAAATATAATAAAAAATCTTGGTAGGACTATGGACCCCGCTATGCTGATCACCACCTGAAGAATAGCCCCTCCTCTCTTGGTTAAATTTAAGGTGAAATAAGCTTATCTTTAGGTAAATGCCGACTACAGACGGTATATAATGAAGAATAAAGTTAGATTGAAGAATGAGTATTTAATGGATAGAGTGGAGAATTAAAAAAACTGGATAAAACAGAAGAATGAGAACTGGGATAATAGCGTAAGGAAGTAAAACAGGAAAAGTTGTAATTGTGAGAGATGGAGAAGTGAGGAAGATAAGGAATATGGTAAGAGAGAAGGAGTGAGGAGGGTTTAGGGCCGAATGTTGTGAGATGCATACATACATACATACATACATACATACATACACACACACACACACTCGCACACATACATACATACATACAGATCGAGAGAAAGAGAGAGAGCAGGGGCGGGTCCTGAGGTGGGGTCCTGGGAATTCGGACCCCACCCTTTTTCATCAGAAAATTTCAATACTTTTTCCTTAATGCAGTATTGTACTCGGGTGTTTTTGTATGGTAAAAAGTAATTACTGTTGATCTCAAACTGGCCTCAAAATGGCCATGATATTGCTCATTTATTTTTTTTTTCTGAGGGGGGGGGGACCTTACAGCACCCCCAAAACCCTCTAGTTGGGTGGGCTCGCTGTGGTCGCCATGTTCTCTCACCCACAACTTCTTGGAGCCCCTCCCCCTTCTGATATTCCTGGATCCGCCCCTGGAGAGAGAAACTAAAACTGTGTCAAGGATCGCACAGTTGCTTTAAGCGTAGGTACGGGTGTTTTGCCCAAGCGACCATTTAACATGTTGTCTAAATATGCAGGTAGTTCCCAGGGGATAGTGTATCTAACTTTAGTATTTACAGATGAGGGCGTTTATTTATTTATTTTTTCTGACGGATTTTTTTTCTTCAGCATTACTGTTTTTTTTAAGAAATTTACTTTTAACAGTGGCATATTATTATCAATTAATCCACAATTAACGTTATTTCTGAGGGATATTTATGGTGACACGAGACTCAATAATTTAGATCACGTGAAGAATAGCATCCTAGCATATTTCACCTGATAATTAAACACCCAAATGCTAGGTTATTTGTTTTATTTATTTATTTATTTATCATTCACCAGATTTGTTCGAGCAGTTGGTCTGTTTGTTTGTTTGTTTGTTTTTGTGTTTTTACTTTGGTATGACTTTTATTGCCCAGTGTTAGGGAGTATACGGAGAAAACCTGCCATGTTTGATAAAAGTCGCACCATAGCACCATTCTCACGCTTATCCCGGACCAGGGGACTGAACCCAGGACACAATATTAAGAAATACTCGCGTTCAGCTGCAGCACCAGGTTAAATTAGGTTAACGTTAGGGTACACAATCTAAAGGTGAAATAGGGATGCTATTCCTCATGTGAGCCAATAATTCTCTCGAGGGGATTTTTTTGTTATTGGTTTCACTGAGCGGAATCATTATTCATGTACTATACAAAAGAAGTTACCTGGCTCTTTGTCTCTCGATACAGTTTTAGCCAGATGCTTAATCCCAGATTTCATTTTCCCTGGTTTGTTGTTTTGGCTACCCTCTCCTCCCGACGAGTCTGAAACGTTATGCGACTTAAAATCATTGGTTTCTAACTGGTGAGTTACTTCAGATGACTTAAAATCCTTGGTTCATGATTGGTCCGTACCATTTGATAAATCAGAAGTGACCGCGGCTGATCGGGCTGCTACAGCGCCTATGTTAAGCCCAGCACTGCCGCCACTCGTAGCCGCACCTAAAGGAGATGAATGATGAGTATTTAAGACATTAGAGAGACATCCAGAGAGGTACTTAGACATTAGACTTTTCCCATAATTTTTCACATAGATAAAATTGTATAGAACCTGGGAGGCACTAACATATATCGGAAGACTCAGAAACATTACAAATTTAGATAGATGTAGATTTTTTATGATACCGCTTTGGCAGAATCAGTTATTACCATATTATTAGTAATTTTAGAATTTAACCCCTTGAATAAGATGATTTAAAAACACTTTCAATATAACATTATCTTACTAAAGGAAACTGGTTATAGTATTCAAGAGTAAGTTATTGTACTCAAGGACTTAAGTCATCGTGCTCAAAGGGGTTACACTCTCTTACTCAAGCGGCTCGTTCATTGTACTCAAAGGGCTAGTTTATTGTACTCTTTGGATATAATTTAATTAGTAAAAGCCAAGAGCGCCCCCTATTAGGTTGCGTTGAGAAGACAAGGGTAAGCAAGCCTTTATAGAAACATATAAACTACTGGTATTTTCTAAAGCACTACAGGCAGTGGAAAGTTAGGTAGGATATCGGCATCTTATTTAGAGTGTATAAAGTATTAAGTGAACATGAGACAGAACATGTAAATTTGTTGATCAATATTTTTTTTTAATTACAGTACATCATAATAAGTATTGCTACACATATGCAGTAAGCAAGGACGATGTATATAGTGGCAGAGGTGTCGAGTAGTGAAGTAACTGTCCTTAAGTACCTTTAATTAAGTAGATTTTTCAAAGATTTACCATCTAGAGAGAATATTTATTTTGAAGTATTCTTACGTATAATTTAGGAAAAAATACAGTACTTCAACTTAAGCACAATGTTGCCAAAATCTGTAGAGTATGAACTACTTTCTTGTATAAAGAGAAAGACGCTAATAATACATGTAAACATTATAGGGGTTAATTCTATTGAGTGCATCAGTGAGAGAGTAAAGTACTAGTAGGTTACTATATATACTTCCCAAACCTGTTTACCGGTACACACACACACACACACACACACACACACACACACACACACACACACACACATGCACATTAACAAACACAACTGGCACAAGAAGCATCCCACATCTTTAAGACTAATCTATATACCTTAATATACTTCTTTTTTTTCCAACCCAAACACCATTTCTACCTCACTACTTCCTGCCGTCCCTGTACCTCACTCACCTGCGGGAGGGGTGTAAGAGAGAACCAGCTTTAGGGTGCCAACAGTGGGGGAGTCAGTGGCATCCAGGAGTCCCAGGTCATAGTCGAGGGGCGTGCCTGGTGCTGCGTGGACTACGTTCCTCAGGGCGATGGTGGCCTTGCCCAGTAGTCTGCAGGAGGCGAGGAGTTTACAAGGGCGGATCCATGGGGGGGTCCTGGGGTCCGAACCCCACTTTTCACCAGAAAATTCCAGTACTTTTTCTTTAATGCAGTTTTGTACTCAGGCATTTTTGAATAGTAAAAAGTATTTACTATTGACTTCAGAATATCCCCTAATATCAAGTGCGCATGGCTTCAAAATGCCCATGATATTGGTCAGATTAAAAAAAAAACATTCTGGAGGGGGGGAATTACAGTACACCCCCCCCCACCCGCACCCCAAAAAAAATGCTGGGTGGGCTCCCTGTGCTCGCCATGTTCCCCCACCCACAACTTCTTGGACCCCCTTTTGATATTCCTGAATCCTCCCCTGAGTTAAAGCATTCTGAACAGTACATTTTTTTTGTTACTTTACTGTATAATTTATGATAATGATTCTACTTCCTGGTATACCGTAAATTAGTATCTTCATATCACAGCATTCTGAGCTGTACTGTATCATAAATAGTCATTTTTCTTGAATAAACTAAATGAATATCTCCTTATATCAGCATTTTGAAATGTTTCATACTAGTTATGGAATAAAATGAATCACTATTTCCTTATTACTGGACTGTAAGGGGCAGGTAGTGCCTGCTGGATATAATGAATACCTCTCGTGGTAACAAATGCAGTTCAGTTATTTTAAACTATCATGCTTAGATAGAATAATATATTCATTAGCTTAGTTTAGAAGAATTTTAGTTGAGGAACACAATTAATAGAAAACAGACATGCAAACAACCTTATTGAGTAATAATCTCTTACCTGTTTCTCCCTATTCTTTCATAATCTTTCACTGTAATATCGATGCACTCGTCTGCTCGCGGCGCCTTTGTACCCAACTCCCATTTTAAGGTCTCGTCCCATTCTGGGTCTAGTGTCCCATCCTTTACTTCCGTTTTCTTTTTTTCTCCTGTAAAAGAAAATGAATAAAGAGAGCCATTATTTTATCCCTAACTCTTCTAAGTTTGTCTAACATGATTTTTTTTACGGGGATTAGCCTACCGGGCTTAATCTAGCTTTCTAATGTTATACTGATTTTAAGAGAAATACGAAAATAAACGAAAAAACCCTGTAAATACAAAGTAATGAATGGTCCTAAGTTAGGTTAGGTTGGTCTCACTGGGTTTGGTTAGGTTAGGTTAGGTGGTTCTCATTTGGTTTAGTTGGTTTGTGTTACTGAACTACGTCTGATTAGGCCTGTATATCCAGGTCTTCATCCATTTATTACTCAGTACTGCTATTAGAAATAAGTTTAATGGAAACCGTCCACCAGCGGCCGGGCTTCATTTCACTTTTGTTGTCCACAGATGGGGACAACAAGGTTACGATTTTAATACTAGTAAAATTGGAAGTCTGGGATTACGCATTACACGTGTTTTGTTTTTATTTCATGTTACTGATCGCAAGTGTATGATCAGGTCACGTAGCGGTGTGTCTGGTGTGGCGTTTGGGCGGGGCACGATAAGATAATTCGATTTTAATTGGCCAACCGTTACTGAGACATTGGTCTGTTATCTGACGGTCGCAGGCAAATGTCTCTCGTTATTCTTTCATTATATTCGATACCTTAGTTGTCAGGAGAGACGTAATAAATGAATAAATTATATAAACCCGTCTAGTTCAGTTTTTTTTTTATTCACTTAATAGTTTCCCAATATTGAGTCTGTAAAATATCGAAATAAGAACATAAAATTAATATAGGATTTTTTCATATGACTTATGTAATCATCATGAGTTACACCTGTATGTCCCACCAGTAGTTCCAACAGGTAGTTTTCCTCCACCACACCCAGCATAAGATCACACCAGTACACACGCTTACACTGTACATCTAACACTGGATCGGAAATTGCACATAAGAGTACTGACGCCATTATAATTTGATCAGTTATTAAATTGCATGATAAGAGATACTGAGATACAGTCATCTTAGAAATAGATGGAAGGGTGACAGTGACAGTGAGGGAAACTGACCCTGGAAGTCTATGGTGACGTAAGGATCACTCTTGCCAAGCGTCTCCAAATTCTGTAGGTTGGAGGCGCTCACCACCTTGATCTCCAGCGACATAGTGGCGTTCTGTGGGAGGAGACGAGAGATGTTAGTGAGGACCTTTGAGAACTAAGAGGAGAGAGAGAGAGAGAGAGAGAGAGAGAGAGAGAGAGAGAGAGAGAGAGAGAGAGAGATTTAAACACATACAGAGATAAAATAGTATTTGATATAACTCGTTAAGACTTCGTTAAGGGAACTGTGAGTGTAGAATGTAAGAGACGTTACTTTAATACTTTCATTACTTCAGTCAACCTTAAACTACACACTTTTTCCTCTTATTTAAGTAGAATTTAGGGATACTACTTTAACTTAAATCGATGTTTGGGTTAGATTACTTATAGTACTTCAACTTTAAGTAAAAAAAATAAGTACTTTATACACCTGTGTGAGATTGTGTAATTGTGTGATGGTAAAGTTTAATAATGTAGAAGTGTGTGTGTGTGTGTGTGTGTGTGTGTGTGTGTGTGTGTGTGTAAGGCTGGTATACACACTTCGTTATAACTGACTTTTTTCCACCAATCACAGGATACAATTAATGACGTCACATCAAAGGCCTAGTGTCATTGGTGGCATCTAACAAATGACCGTAAACTGTAGACCCTGACTGTGAGAGCTACACATAACTGCCCCCATGTTCCCTCACGCAAGCCCTGAGAACCTAACCTAACTATACCTAAACACTGCCTGCACCAATTGTCACGGGATAAACTGTGATTGGTCCAAGTAGCGAGCTGACATAAACACTAGTATCACCCTGTGGTGTTTGAACGTGGGGCTTGGGATGGGGTGACTGGGTGGCGTGGGTGGTAAATGGGTGGTTGCGTGGGGTGGATAACTGGGTGGTAAAATGTGGCTGGTGTGGTATAACTGGTGGTAAATGGGTATTGCGGGTGATAATCATGTAAATTGGTGGTTGGTAAGATAACTGGGCAAATGGGTGGTTGCGTGGGTGATAACCAGTGGTAAATGGGTGCACAGGTGATAACTGGTGTGAAAATGGGGTGGTTGCGTGGGGTGGATAACTGGGTGGTAAATGGGTGGTTGTGGTGACAAACTGGGTGGTAAATGGGTGGGAGAGGCAAGGCCAACTGGATGGGATGTAAAGGACCTTATTTTAATGGAATATGAAGAACAGTGGCCAGAATGTGTGTGTGTGTGTGTGTGTGTGTGTGTGTGTGTGTGTGTGTGTGTGTGTGTGTGTGTTCCTATTTAAATCAAGGAAATACAGTTATCAGGGCGTATTAAACTATGGTAACCGGACGCCAGGTTTCAAATTAATCAACAGAAAAATAATGAGACTTCGAGCGACTGTATAAACGTTTGGATAGTACGAAACTAAAACAAAAGAAGACAGACAGACAGACAGACAGACAGACACTTGTTCCTCGTCACCTACACAAACATATAAAATCCCCACAAACAATCCTGGTACCAATTCCACCCCTATCACACTAAACAGTAACTCTATCTTGTCCTACTTGAGTTAATACCTTCTCACGGCGATAGAGGTGAAAATCACTCCCGCAGGCTTGTATGTCTCGCCTATATGAATTCTTCCTCCTCCTCCTCTAGCGGCCACAAGCGTCGTCTCTATACTATAGCTGAGAGTTAAGTGTAAGTTGTTAGACATCACACTGACTCGCCTCTGGAAGTGGTTGATGGTGTACATACTCACACCCACTTGTATCAATCGCCGCTATCTTAAACCACGTTATCAAGAAGCTTATGTTCTTTATCTCACACAAACACATCATTAATATCATTATTATTATTATTATTATTACACACACACACACACACACACACATATATACACATACACACACACACACAATAATAATATCTATTTAGTAAAATTACCATACGAGTTTACAATTGGTTTAGCATATATTACCGATGCAGGTATACAGTTCAGTATGTGTATAGACAACGCAGGTATACAGTGTACATTCCCCCAAAAAGTACCTTCACGGTGATAGTCCGATGAATTTCACAATGAACACTGTGACTCCTGTTCTCTCGGTAGGGTTGTCAAAATCATTCGTCCTTTGTGTCATATTCCTCTCTCTCTCTCTTCTCTGAATCAAAATAATAGTATCTTTTATTAATTTTTTTATTTCTCTTTATCGCATTAGGTAAAGGCGAGAGAGTGGAAAAGTGTGTATGTGTGTGTGTGTGTGTGTGTGTGTGTGTGTGTGTGTGTGTGTGTGTGTGTGTGTGTGTGTGTGTGTGTGTGTGTGTGTGTGTAATAAATAATAATAATAATAATTAACGGTTTATTGAAAAAATTCTGCAGCCCGAAGGCTGAAAATATACATTGGACATAAATGACTTATTACATACATTGGTGGTTTAACAAAAGCCTTCATTAGAGAAGGGTAAAGGAACATACAGTGAACATACAGATTAATGTAGGTGTTGAACAGTAAACTCGTAGTGTAGTAATTCCCTCGCAGATGGTGTTATGAGGAGCCTCACGTGGTGTAGTAATTCTCTCACAGATGGTGTTATGAGGGACCTGGCGTGGTGTAGTAATTACCTCGCAGATGGTGTTATGAGGGGCCTCACGTGGTGTAGTAATTCCCTCACAGATGGTGTTATGAGGGACCTCACGTGGCGTAGTAATTATCTCACAGATGGTGTTATGAGGGGCCTCACGTGGTGTAGTAATTCCCTCACAGATGGTGTTATGAGGGACCTCACGTGGTGTAGTAATTACCTCACAGATGGTGTTATGAGGGACCTCACGTGGTGTAGTAATTACCTCATAGATGGTGTTATGAGGGGCCTCACGTGGTGTAGTAACTCCCTCACAGATGATGTCATGAGGGACATCGCGTGGTGTAGTAATTCCCTCACAGATGGTGTTATGAGGGGCCCGACGTGATGTAGTAATTCCCTCACAGATGGTGTTATGAGGGACCTCACGTGTGGTAATTCCCTCACAGATGGTGTGATGAGGGACTTGACGTGGTGTAGTAATTCCCTCACATATGGTGTTATGAGGGACATGTGGTGTAGTAATTCCCTCACATATGGTGTTATGAGGGACATGTGGTGTAGTAATTCCCTCACAGATGGTGTTATATGAGTGAGGTTTGGTCTTAGGCCTTCCTATCGTAGACGGATTAACACATCGCTGGTTGTTGTTGGGTCTCACGGGCCGTTATCACTGGGTACCTGGGACCTCACTGTGTGAAGGTTAACTTGGGTACAACTGTTACTGTTGAGTTGTTCTCACTGACTTACGCACTGTTCACCACTGTTCACCCCTGTTTAACACTGGTTCCGTTCCTTTCCTAAATGAAATTGTAACTTCTGGCGAGAACTTGCTGATATCCGGTGGGGAGGAGGGTTCAGGGGAGGGAGTTGGTATGGGCCAACTTAACAGTTGACCTGTGTGTGTGTGTGTGTGTGTGTGTGTGTGTGTGTGTGTGTGTGTGTGTGTGTGTGTGTGTGTGTGTGTGTGTGTGTGTGTGTGTGTGTGTGTGTGTGTGAGCTGTACCACACTAGCAGGTGAAGCCCAAGTGGTGGTCGGACCCTAGAGTGATGAAAGGGGAAGCTAATGCGTTGATGGAGTGCTTTACATGCTATAGGACCGAGCTTGTTTGACTGCATCTTGCTTGTGCTTGTTTGACTGTCTCTTGCTTGTGCTTGTTTGACTGTCTCTTCCTTGTGCTTGTTTGACTGCCTCTTGCACTTCAGTGGTTCAAAGTTGATGCAATACTGTAATAATAATAATTGAGTGTGTGTGTGTGTGTGCGTGTGTGTGTGTTCGAAATATATATTCATAATTACAACCAGGTAATTAGGTTCTTCTATATCTGCAGGTAGAGGAAGAAAACAAAATTAACGTATGAATCATTGGCGAATCCGGATCGAGAGGTTTGAAATGTCATCCAAGAATCGCTTCCTCCTCCTCCTCCTCACCCGAACCTTCAAGTCCAAACACTGACCTTCTTGTCGTTTCTACTCTACAATAATAACTAATGCCAGTTCAAGCAGTCAACAGTGCCTGGCGTTCCCATATACTCAAGAAGATCATGATTATGGTAGCCACAACTGACCCCCGAAAAAAGTATCTGGTTGTTTTGGCGGTCTTTTTAAAACAACATTAACTATCTCAATCGCCATGTTGATAATATTCTCACGTCCAGGAAATTGTACAGTATATGATTCATTCTCTTCCTCCATCCTGTATAAAAAAATCCGATACGATATCAAACAAGGAAGTGACTCATCATATACGAGAATCAACAATAATGTGGTGTTTTAATTCACTAGACGTTAAATTGTTGCTTAATTATAATTCTGGGGTTAATTTACGAGAGATATTTAAAATGAAGTTATATAGCCCTGTGCACTTGTAATAATGTACAATATAATGACTACCTGTTATACCTTCATTATTTTATACATTGTTCTACTTACAGGAAAATATTTAAATAGTCTCAGTAAATGGTGGACGTGTCTACCATCTGTAAGATTTATTGTGAGTATAACAAAGTATATAACGGTTAAGGTAGAACAAGGAATCACTACATTGTTAATTATTACAGGTGCACAGGGACTTTTCGATCACCTTCTACAGCCATGCAAACACTATGATTGAGGCCAGGTATACTGAGGTAGAGGCCAGGTATACTGAGGTAAAGACCAGGTATACTGAGGTAGAGGCCAGGTATACTGAGGTAAAGACCAGGTATACTGAGGTAGAGGCCAGGTATACTGAGGTAGAGGCCAGGTATACTGAGGAAGAGGCCAGGTATACTGAGGAAGAGGCCAGGTATACTGAGGTAGAGGCCAGGTATACTGAGGTAGAGGCCATACTGAGAGGTGAGGTAAGTGGTGAGGAGATGGAAAGTGTTATGAAGGTCACCGTCCATTGTTAGCGACTCATTGTCAGGATCTGAGAACACTCCCCCTACTTCCTCCTACACTCCCCCCCCCTTCTTTCTCTACCCCCTTACCTCCTCCTTTTTCTCTTCCCCCTTTACATCACCCTCCCCCTCACCTCACCTCACCTC